GAATCCGATACAAGGGATACAAATCCGGCTGTGGCTACGGCATAAACTATTTATATAAACTTTCTACATGAGAATAAAGATGACCTTGTATGAAGTTTTTTTGGTTGTCATCTTAATATTATATACTTATTAATACAATTCACAAAAGCTAGCATCTCCAACTTGTAAGTTTAAAGAATTATAATGAAATAACATCTAATATGGACAGGTTGAAATATTTTTGAATCCTGATGGTGCATACTCACAAATTCTTTTGGAAAAATTCACGTAAATTTAAATGTTGATTTGATAGCGTTCATTTATTTATTTGCCCTCGTAAACAGTTTTGTTAAAATACCGAAATCTGTAAATTCTTATCGTGAACGAATAAGTCGGGTACACCTTTTTACATTCAGGCGTGCTTAAGTTGCACTTTTTTCTTCGTATTAAGAAAAATGATTTTAATTTTAGCATCTATCTAAAGATTAGATTATTTACACACACACAAAAATAGGGCTTACTGTTGATTTTGAAACTCTATGAATTCACATTTATATTCAACCAAACAGATAGGCCTAGATCCATACCTTTATAAGTTTCAAAACAGAGAAGGTGTGTTTGAAAACAAATAATCACGTACTGCTATATCTGTTAAGGCAAATGCAAGTCTTACTTGTATTATTTATATAATTTTAATTGGCACAATATCACATTAAAATTTACTGAGAAATATTATACATAGTAATCATGAAAATGTACTACTGTAACAATGAAAATTCGGACGAATACACTCCTTTTCACTACCCCTCCATCTACTCATTTAAGTTTAGGCCAAACAGCCTTAGCAACAGTCTTTTATTATTTTTTCCCTGTAAATAAAAAGATTGATTGAATTTATTTAAACTCAAAAAATAGAATCTTATTTTCAATAAGAAACAAGAAAATTAATTCGAAACACAATTCATGATTTATTTCTCCTAAATTTCAATGAAAACAAAGTATTTTCTTCACTTTTCTTTTAACAAATTATTCATTTCAGAAATTTAAAAAATAAACAATAAACAATGTTGAAGACCGTACCTTGACCTATAATGGTTTACTTTTATAAATTGTGACTTGGATGGAGAGTTGTCTCATTGGCACTCATACCACATCTTCCTATATCTATTTAACCCAGCACATTCTTTATGTGTCTGTCCGAAGCCACGAGCCTGTAGTTTGGTGGTTGTCGTTGGTTCATCTCTATCATATTTGTTATTTTTCGTTAATTGTTTTGTTATGAGTTAGGCCGTTAGTTTTCTTGTTGAATCCTTCCACAATTTTCATGTCGGGGCTTTTTATAGCCGACTGTAAGGTACGATTTTTCGTTGTTGAAGACCAAACGATAGCATATAATTGCTTACATACACTTTATTTGACCCTGGTGGATAGTTATCCTATTTGCAATCATACAACATCTCCACTGTTTATATTTAAAAAAAAAAAACAGCGCCAACAAAAGATGAATGGTCGGTTTTTTTTTATTGAACTTACAAAATTTCACCCTGACAACAAATACGACAACAGTCGTTAGTATTATAACGATATATGAATGTATTAAGGATAATATGGTTGAAAAAAAACTTTTTGTCTTTAAAAACACAAAGTCAAATAGAGGTACGCAACGACGACGTCTGAACGAAATTAATGGCATATATCTTATAATATTTGATAAGTAGTTTATTTTGTATATTTGTAAGCCGGTAAAGCTTTGATACAGCCAAAATTTCGTCACTTGATATTATCTAAACAGTGATTAATTTCATCTTTAAATTACAATATATTGCAAGACGCCGTACAGACAAAAGTTGTTATTTTGCAATTCGCCGTACAACGTCCTGCAATTCGCCGTACGATAAACAAACAATGTTTTGGTCCATATTCTTTAAAAACATCTTTATGACAACAGATTTCAGTCAATATGATGTCATACTATCATAATCTAAAAACGTGTCTGGAAAAATAATGAAAAACAGTTGAATATCTTGCTAATGGGGCGACAGAGGACAATCGACCTCGAAATTTTCAGGTACTAAGTGGCAAGATTTGGAGTATAACACAAAATATTATCTTAATTTTGTACTTATCGGCCTAATAATTTAAAGAATTATATATCAGAAAATCATTTCTTAAGCGGTACCCTCGTCAAATCAGTAGAAATGCTTTAAATTGAATGAATTCTTACCTTGTTTACTTTTTTTTCCATTTCTCTCCGCTTCGTTAGTACCCAATTTCCGGTGGCGATGATACACAGTGATAAAGATTAAAGAAAAGATCTACTTGCAGATAGATAAGCAAATATTCTGATTGCAATGAATAATGGAAAAAAAGATATGACCTAAAAAATTAAAGAACATACTTAAAAAGAAGAATGTTAGATTGAACAAGTTGAAAGTTTAAAAAGATAGAGAAAATTTATAAGTACAAGGGTACTATAAACATAATACATTCGGATGGAAAGTTGAAGAAAGCACACTTTAACAGACAATTTCTACAGCACACGGTTACATTTACGACAGAATTTATGTCGATTAAAAACCTCCTGATCTGAGTCCTAATCTCCTGACCAAAATTTCCCAAACTCCTGATCTTAGTTTCACAGTCCATCATATGTACTGCAAGGTACCATACCACAAAGGGAAGGCTGGGATTGTGTTTGAGGGTGATGAATCATAAGGGGGTTCAAAAAATTTTTGGGGGAGGTGGATTTTTTTTTCCTTTTTATACGACCGCAAAAATTGAAAATTTTTTGGTCGTATATTGGTATGACGTTGGCGTCGTCGTCGTCGTCGTCGTCGTCGTTGTCGTCGTCGTCGTCGTCGTCGTCGTCCGGCGTCGTCCGAAGACACATTGGTTTTCGCACTCTAACTTTAGTTTAAGTGAATGGATCTCCATGAAATTTTACCATAAGGTTAAATACCACGAAAGGAAAGTGGGGATTGATTTTGGGGGTTATGGTACCAACAGTTAAGGAATTAGGGGCCAAAAAGGGGCCAAAAATAAGCATTTTTGTAACTTCCAGACAATAACTTATGTGTAAGTGTATGGATCTCTCTGACATTGTACCACAAGGTTCCATATCACAAAGGGAAGGCTGTAATTGATTTTGGGGGTAATTGCCTTAAAATTTTAGGAATTAGGGGCCAAAAAAGGGGCAAAAAACAAGCATTTTTCTAGTTTTATGACAATAACTTGTGTGTAAGTGTTTGGATATTTCTGAAATTGTACTACAAGGTTCCATATCACAAAGGGAAAGCTGGAATTGAGTTTGGGGGTAATTGCCCGAAACGTTTAGGAATTGGGGGCCAAAAAGGGGCCAAAAATAAGCATTTTTCTAGTTTCCAGACAATTACTTGTGTTCAAGTGTATGGATCTCTCTGAAATTGTACTGCAAGGTACCATACCACAAAGTGAAGGCTGGGATTGAGTTTGGGGGTGATGAATCATAAGGGGGTTCAAAAAATTTGGGGGGGGAATTTTTTTTTTTTTCTTTTTTTTTCTTTTTTTCCTTTTTTTTTTCTTTTAAAATTTTCCATTTTAAGTTGGTTATTTCTGATTTATATTTAAAAGCAAATAATAATGATATGGTAGGAGATACACACCAAACAGGATGTGTAAATTATTATATAATAAGTATTGTGCAATAGCAAGAAATTTTCAATTGCACAGTATTGCACAATTGCAAGAAATCTTCAATTGCACAGTATTGCGCAATAGCAAGAAATCTTCAATTGCACAGTATTGCGCAATAGCAAGAAATATCCAATATCACAATATTGCGCAATAGCAAGAAATTGTCAATTGTACAGTATTGCACAATAGCAAGAAATATTCAATTGCACAGTATTGTGCAAAAGAAGATACTTCGTATAAATTGCTTATTTCTTGATCAATTTCAATGGGGTTTTATTCTTGAATTCTTGGGGTTCTTTAATATGCTGAATCTAACCGTGTATTAAGTTTTTGGATTTTGGGCCCCGTTTTTAAATTGGTCCACATTGAGGTCCAAAGGGTCCAAAATTTAACTTTGTTTGATTTCATCAAAAATTGAATTAGTGGGGTTCTTTGATATGCCGAATCTAACCGTGTATTTAGATTCTTAATTTTTGGTTCCGTTTTCAAATTGGTCTACATTGAGGTCAAAAGGGTCCAAAATTAAACTTTGTTTGATTTCATCAAAAATTTAATTATTGGGGTTCTTTGATATGCCAAATCTAACCGTGTATTTAGATTTTTAATTTTGGGTCCCGTTTTTTAAATTGGTCTACATTAAGGTCCAAATTAAAGGGTCCAAAATTTAACTTAGTTTGATTTTAACAAAAATTGAATTTTTGGGGTTCTTTGATATGCTGAATCTAAACATGTGTTTAGATTTTTTATTATGGGACCAGTTTTCAAGTTGGTCCAAGTTGGGGTCCAAAATTAAACTTTGTTTGATTTCAACAAAAATTGAATATATGGGGTTCTTTGATATGCTGAATCTAAACATGTATTTAGATTTTAGATTTTTGGCCAAGTTTTCAAGTTGGTCCAAATTGGGGTCCAAAATTAAACTTTGTTTGATTTCAACAAAAATTGAATATATGGGGTTCTTTGATATGCTGAATCTTACCATGTATTTAGATTTTTTATTTTGTGGGCCCGCTATCAAATTGGTTCATATTGAGGTCAAAAGGGTCCAAAATTAAACTTTGTTTGATTTCATCAAAAATTGAATTATTGGGGTTCTTTGATATGCCAAATCTAACCGTGTTTTTAGATTTTTAATTTTGGGTCCCGTTTTTTAAATTGGTCTACATTAAGGTCCAAAGGGTCCAAAATTAAACTTAGTTTGATTTTAACAAAAATTGAATTCTTGGGGTACTTTGATATGCTGAATCTAAACATGTGTTTAGATTTTTGATTATGGGACCAGTTTTCAAGTTTGTTCAAGTTGGGGTCCAAAATTAAATTTTGTTTGATTTCAACAAAAATTGAATATATGGGGTTCTTTGATATGCTGAATCTAACCATGTATTTTGATTTTGGACATTGGACCATAATAGGTAAATTAAAAAAATTGAAGTTCTTAGACCACATTCTTTCTGTGTCAGAACCTATGCTGTGTCAAATATTTAATCACAATCCAAATTCAGAGCTGTTTCAAGCTTGAATGTTGTGTCCATACTTGCCCCAACTGTTCAGGGTTCGACCTCTGCGGTCGTATCAAGCTGCGCCCAGCGAAGCATTTTATTTTTCTTTGAAATTTTCCATTTTAAATTGGTTATTTCTGATTTATATATAAAAGCAAATAATAATGATATGGTTTGAATAGATAAATTAAAAATTTTTAAGTTCTTAGACCACATTCATTCTGTGTCAGAAACCTATGCTGTGTCAAATATTTAATTACAATCCAAATTCAGTGCTGTATCAAGCTTGAATGTTGTGTCCATACTTGCCCCAACTGTTCAGGGTTCGACCTCTGCGGTCGTATCAAGCTGCGCCCCAGCGAAGCATTTTATTGATATTTGGTATGCAAATTTATTGGCATTTGCAAGTATCGTTTCCATGGAGATTATATAGCCCCACCCCTGATATCATGGTTCATTGACTTTGAAACTTTTACATAGTTTACAAGTTAATGTTTGTGTTTAGGTTTGTTTAAAGGGAACGACTTATAATAAGTCAATGGTATTTGGTATGCAGTTGTATTAGCATTGGCACATCTCATTTCATGGAGGTTGTTAAGCCATGTACCTTCAGGCATGGTTCATCGACTTTGAATATTTGCATTACTTACATGTTAAAGTATTGCAATTTTAATTTCAACATTTGCATTATCAAAATTACAAAAAGGCGAGACATATCTCTGTGATAACAGTTTATATAAATTTAAGATTTTACGTTTCCGAGTTATGGGGTTTTATTCATTAAAAAAGGGGGATTTTCCAGTTTTTGGACAATAACTGAAAAATGCTTTGAGCAGTTTTAATGAAACTTTAGTGACTGTTTTATATCTATTAAAATAACCGCCCTTTAGTTTTTTATAAATTTCTGATATGACATTGAGGAGTTATGGAACTTTATTCTTTGAAAAAGCTACGGGCATATCATGCGCTAATGGCGCAACTCTTTATTGGGTTTTGATCTGTTTTTCTTAAACTGTGAGCAGTAGGTCAACTATATCTGGTATATAGAATGATTGTAAGGTGTACATGTCTGTCTGGCAGTTATCACCTGACCTTGACCTCATTTTCAAGGTTCATTGGTCAATGTTAAGTTTTCCTGGTTAATTTTGTTTCTTAGATACTATATGCAATAGGTCAACTATATTTAAAGCATGTAATGATTGTAAAGTGTACATGTCTGTCTGGCAGGGTTTATCTGACCCTGACCTCATTTTCATGGTTCATTGATCAATGTTAAGTTTTCCTGGTTAAGTTTGTTTCTTAGATACTATGTGCAATAGGTCAACTATATTTAAAGCATAGAATGAGTGTAAGGTGTACATGTCTGTCTGGCAGGATTCGTCTGACCTTGACGTCATTTTCATGGTTCTTTTCTCAATATAAAGTTTTCATGGTTTGGTCTGTTTCTTGTATACTTTAACACCAATAAGTCAACTATATTTTGTGTATGGAATGATTTTAAGGTGTACATGTATTTTTGGCTTGGTTTATCTGACCTTGCTCTCATTTTCTTTGATCATGTTAAGTTTGTGATATTTGTAGTAAAACTTTATATTTAGGACTATCAACATAAAATCAATGGTCAGTAAAACAGGTGAGACCTTTCAATGTGTGCACTTTATTTTGTGATAATAGGTTTGGATTACGGTAGAGTAGATGTTGTGGTATATGTTTTACTATATAGATCAGAAGTATGAGTTGATGGTAAGTACCGGTAGTAGTATGTGTTTAAAAACGGTGAATCAGTGGTTTCAGTTGTTGGGAAGAAATTTTTCTAGGAAGTGTTTTTGAATATATTTGATCAATGGTTTTTGGTTGGTTGAAAGTAGCAGAAGATGTAGCATATGGTCAGGCTGTTGTATGTTTTTTTTATACGACCGCAAAAATTGAAAATTTTTTGGTCGTATATTGGTATGACGTTGGCGTCGTCGTCGTCGTCGTCGTCGTCGTCGTCGTCGTCGTCGTCGTCGTCTGGCGTCGTCCGGCGTCGTCCGAAGACACATTGGTTTTCGCACTCTAACTTTAGTTTAAGTGAATGGATCTCCATGAAATTTTACCATAAGGTTCAATACCACGAAAGGAAGGTTGGGATTGATTTTGGGGGTTATGGTATCAACAGTTAAGGAATTAGGGGCCAAAAAGGGGCCAAAAATAAGCATTTTTGTAACTTCCAGACAATAACTTGTGTGTAAGTGTATGGATCTCTCTGACATTGTACCACAAGGTTCCATATCACAAAGGGAAGGCTGTAATTCATTTTGGGGGTAATTGCCTCAAAATTTTAGGAATTAGGGGCCAAAAAAGGGGCAAAAAACAAGCATTTTTCTAGTTTCATGACAATAACTTGTGTGTAAGTGTTTTGATATTTCTGAAATTGTACTACAAGGTTCCATATCACAAAGGGAAAGCTGGAATTGAGTTTGTGGGTAATTGCCCGAAACGTTTAGGAATAGGGGGCCAAAAAGGGGCCAAAAATAAGCATTTTTCTAGTTTCCAGACAATAACTTGTGTTCAAGTGTATGGATCTCTCTGAAATTGTACTGCAAGGTACCATACCACAAAGGGAAGGCTGGGATTGAGTTTGGGGGTGATGAATCATAAGGGGGTTCAAAAAATTTGGGGGGGGGATTTTTTTTTTTTCTTTTTTTTTCTTTTTTTCCTTTTTTTTTTTCTTTTAAAATTTTCCATTTTAAGTTGGTTATTTCTGATTAATATTTAAAAGCAAATAATAATGATATGGTAGGAGATACACACCAAACAGGATGTGTAAATTATTATATAATAAGTATTGTGCAATAGCAAGAAATTTTCAATTGCACAGTATTGCACAATTGCAAGAAATCTTCAATTGCACAGTATTGTGCAATAGCAAGAAATCATCAATTGCACAGTATTGCGCAATAGCAAGAAATATCCAATAGCACAATATTGCGCAATAGCAAGAAATTGTCAATTGTACAGTATTGCACAATAGCAAGAAATATTCAATTGCACAGTATTGTGCAAAAGAAGATACTTCGTATAAATTGCTTATTTCTTGATCAATTTCAATGGGGTTTTATTCTTGAATTCTTGGGGTTCTTTAATATGCTGAATCTAACCAAGTATTAAGTTTTTGGATTTTGGGCCCTGTTTTTAAATTGGTCCACATTAAGGTCAAAAGGGTCCAAAATTAAACTTAGTTTGATTTTAACAAAAATTGAATTTCTAGGGTTCTTTGATATGCTGAATCTAAACATGTATTTAGATTTTTGATTATGGGCCCAGTTTTCAAGTTGGTCCAAATCGGAGTCCAAAATTAAACTTTGTTTGATTTCAACAAAAATTGAATATATGGGGTTCTTTGATATGCTGAATCTAACCATGTATTTAGATTTTTGATTTTTGGGCCCCGTTATCAACTTTGTCCACATTGAGGTCAAAAGGGTCCAAAATTAAACTTTGTTTGATTTCATCAAAAATTGAATTCTTGGGGTTCTTTGATATGCTGAATCTAACCATGTATTTAGATTTTTTATTTGTGGACCCGCTATCAAATTGGTTCATATTGAGGTCAAAAGGGTCCAAAATTAAACTTTGTTTGATTTCATCAAAAATTTAATTATTGGGGTTCTTTGATATGCCAAATCTAACCGTGTATTTAGATTCTCAATTTTGGGTCCCGTTTTTTAAATTGGTCTACATTAAGGTCCAAAGGGTCCAAAATTAAACTTAGTTTGGTTTTAACAAAAATTGAATTTTTGGGGTTCTTTGATATGCTGAATCTAAACATGTGTTTAGATTTTTGATTATGGGACCAGTTTTCAAGTTGGTCCAAGTTGGGGTCCAAAATTAAACTTTGTTTGATTTCAACAAAAATTGAATATATGGGGTTCTTTGATATGCTGAATCTAAACATGTATTTAGATTTTAGATTTTTGGCCCAGTTTTCAAGTTGGTCCAAATTGGGGTCCAAAATTAAACTTTGTTTGATTTCAACAAAAATTGAATATATGGGGTTCTTTGATATGCTGAATCTTACCATGTATTTAGATTTTTTATTTTGTGGGCCCGCTATCAAATTGGTTCATATTGAGGTCAAAAGGGTCCAAAATTAAACTTTGTTTGATTTCATCAAAAATTGAATTATTGGGGTTCTTTGATATGCCAAATCTAACCGTGTTTTTAGATTTTTAATTTTGGGTCCCGTTTTTTAAATTGGTCTACATTAAGGTCCAAAGGGTCCAAAATTAAACTTAGTTTGATTTTAACAAAAATTGAATTCTTGGGGTACTTTGATATGCTGAATCTAAACATGTGTTTAGATTTTTGATTATGGGACCAGTTTTCAAGTTTGTCCAAGTTGGGGTCCAAAATTAAACTTTGTTTGATTTCAACAAAAATTGAATATATGGGGTTCTTTGATATGCTGAATCTAACCATGTATTTTGATTTTGGACATTGGACCATAATAGGTAAATTAAAAAAATTAAAGTTCTTAGACCACATTCTTTCTGTGTCAGAAACCTATGCTGTGTCAAATATTTAATCACAATCCAAATTCAGAGCTGTATCAAGCTTGAATGTTGTGTCCATACTTGCCCCAACTGTTCAGGGTTCGACCTCTGCGGTCGTATCAAGCTGCGCCCAGCGAAGCATTTTATTTAATATAGATCAGTGGTTTGAGTTGATGCATAGTCAATAGCAATACCAGTGTACATTTGTATCATTGAATACATTGTATCACATTATCTTTTAAAAATCATATTTATATTCATACAATGTTAAAAAAATTCTGTTGCAGCAGCAGATTAGGTTGTCAATTACCATTTTTATGAACAAATGGAAATAGGCAAGCCTTATTTGATTAGCTAGCTTTCTGTTAACACAAATTGAACAAAACATTGGTTTTCAAGCTATTTAAAATCAGTTTGAAATTCAATGTTGAAGTGCATAATCTTTTAGACTGTAAGTGTTTAAAATGTAAAACTGTTATATCTTTTATAGGTTTGTGCCCATAGGTATACTATCAACTATAGTGGTGTGGGAAAATGTATAGCGTTGCGTGAAAGTTTAACATTTCACAAACTGGTAACACCATGTGAAGATGACAGATTGCAACACAAGGGAACTGCATATTGTCAAGCAGGGACATCAGCTGATATTAATTTTGTATGTACTTTATGCTTTTGTATTTAACAGATTTTGAGAAAGACTTTTTGAATTTTTAGGGTCGACCCTGTTCCCAGACTTTTAATTCTAGTTTTTTTCTTGTTCCTGTATTTCGATTTTGTTTATATATTAAAGTCATATGAAACGAGTTTCTTGTTATTCTAATGTTTTCGAAAATATTGAACCAATGCATGCATATATATACTAAACTAAGTACTGTATGCACGTTTTTATAAGACCGCAAAAAAATTTTGCGGTTGTATATTGGTATGACAATGACGTCGTCGTTGTTGTCATCGTCCAGCGTCATCGTCGCCAGAAGACACATTGGTTTTCGCACTCTAACTTTAGTTTAAGTGAATGGATCTCTATGAAATTTTACCATAAGGTTCAGTACCACAAAAGGAAGGTGATGATTGATTTTGGGGGATATGGTACCAACAGTTAAGGAATTAGGGGCCAAAAAGGGGCAAAAAATAAGCATTTTTGTAACTTCCAGACATAACTTGTGTGTTAGTGTATGGATCTCTCTGACATTGTACCATAAGGTTCCATATCACAAAGGGAATGCTGGGATTGATTTTGGGGGCAATTGCCTCCAAATTTTAGGAATTAGGGGCCAAGAAGGGGCAAAAAACAAGCATTTTTCTAGTTTCATGACAATAACTTTTGTGTTAGTGTATGGATCTCTCTGACATTGTACCACAAGGTTTCATATCACAAAGGGAATGCTGGGATTGATTTTGGGGGTAATTGCCTCCAAATTTTAGGAATTAGGGGCCAAAAAGGGGCAAAAAACAAGCATTTTTCTAGTTTCATGACAATAACTTGTGTTCAAGTGTATGGATCTCTCTGAAATTGTACTGCAAGGTACCATACCACAAAGGGAAGGCTGGGATTGATTTTGGGGGTAATTGCCTCAAAATTTTAGGAATGAGGGGCCATAAAGGGGCAAAAAAACAAAGCATTTTTCTAGTTTCAGGACAATAGCTTGTGTGTAATTGTATGGATCTTTATGAAATTGTACTGCAAGGTTCCATATCACAAAGGGAAAGCTGGGTTTGAGTTTGGGGGTAATTGCCCTAAACGTTTAGGAATTTGGGGCCAAAAAGGGGCAAAAAAAAAAGCATTTTTCTAGTTTCCAGACAATAACTTGTGTTCAAGTGTATGGATCTCTCTGAAATTGTACAGCAAGGTAGCATATCACAAAGGAAAGGCTGGGATTGAGTTTGGGGGTGATGAATCATAAGGGGGTTCAAAAAATTTGGGGGGGGATTTTTTTTTCTTTTTTTTTCTTTCAAAATTTTAAATTGGTTATTTCTGATTTATATATAAAAGCAAATAATCATGTTATGGTTTGAATAGGTAAATTTAAAATTTTTAAGTTCTTAGATCACATTCATTCTGTGTCAGAAACCTATGCTGTGTCAAATATTTAATTACAATCCAAATTCAGTGCTGTATCAAGCTTGAATGTTGTGTCCATACTTGCCCGAACTGTTCAGGGTTCGACCTCTGCGGATGTATCAAGCTGCGCCCCAGCGGAGCATTTTATTTAATATTTATTACAAATCTATAACATATTATCGACAAATAACATTTCATTCAGGGATTGTTGATCGCAAGCTAATTAACTTTCGAGTTTGTTGCTGAAGTTTACCAGATCATGACATTGGTAAACATTCAACACAGAGCATGTGGAGCATGTGACAAATAAGTAAATTGATATAGCCATGACAATGTTTTTTTATATTTTCCATGCGTTCTCATTTGTTAATTAAATTTTTCCTTAACAGTTGTTAAATGATTTGTTGTATTAAATTTGCTCTTTAAGGATGTACACCTCTGAGGAGCCAAAAATTTCTAGAATTAAACATTTTTCTAAACCTGATTTTTTGGTTTATATGACTGTTAGAAAGTAACTGACTAAAAAAAATCATGTGGTGGTGCATTTGAAAGTACCCATTTTTTATGAATTTCCCATTTTTCATCAATTTTTACCCATTTTTGAGCTATTATCATAAAAGAAAATCACTATTTCACAATTAAACCTTTTTTCATACTTTCACTAAAGATGAAGTGGACCAATCTGATTAAATTTAACTTAAAATCTAAAGGTTGGTGTTAATATTAGAAAGTTTTATAAAATTTTGTTGCTTTTTCGTGTCAAATTGACCATGCTGTCAATTTTGTAGATTTGGGATTTTTCTCTTTTTTTTTTTTAAAACAAAAAGCATATTATTTCAACTTCTTTGTTATGAATGATTGAAAAAATACATATCTAAGAATTTTGAAAAGAAAAAATTGATATGAGATGTACAGATTTTTGGTAAAATCATTTCTTTGTACCCTCACCTATTTTCTCAACATTTTGGCTGACGACACTTACCAGATTGGTAATAAAATTTGTAAATTTTATTACTCAAAAACTACTTATTGTAAGTACACAATTTTTTCACAGAGATTAGTTTGATTATAATATTTTTCATATTCATTGATATTTTCCACTTGTATCACATGTTTTGGAATTAATTCCTGAACGAGATTTCAACGAGACTGAAAATCTCAGAAGAATACATCTTTAAGAATCAGTTATTACTATTTACCTTCCAGTGCTCGTTTGTTTACATTCTTTCATCATGGTTTTCCCCCTAGCACTTAAACTGTGCAGTGGCCAAAGTTCTAACGAGAGGTTGTAGTTAGGGTCACTGCATACAGGAAAATATCGACGAATTAGTGTACGGGAAGACAATAATTCAATAGCAGTGTTTTATGAGGATTTTGATAATATAAAGGGTTTTTCTTTTACAAGAAAGTTCACATACATTTGTTTTATAGTAAAACTTATCCATTCAATTATATAAAACATATTCAACTTGTTATCATGGTGTTGTCTATCATTCCTGACTTATGATCTATGACTTTCTGTGATATTTTCTTACTATCATTTTTTCAAGGATGGTACAGTAGTAGTTGGAGGTCCAGGTGCAGGAGATTGGACAGGTAAGAATCTTCTTCTCTTCATAATTATTTATAATCTTATAAATGTTATTTCAAAAAGCTCTGAATTCCCTTTACAGCACATTGACTTGAGTGTGTAGGTAAAGATAGTATCTTTGGTTAGCTTGCTTGCTAGCTGAACCATGAAATCATTTTAGCTAAGGTAGTACTGTCCTTTGGGCGGAAGTCAAAAGTTAAGCAGAGAACCAATCAAAAGTAGGGGAAGTATATAATATACAAGTCAATTTAAAAATAGGTTTACAATCTAAATTTGAAATCAAGTGTCAATTATGAACTTATTCACAAGCATGTTGTATGTGTGTTTGATTTGTAAATTTTATTTCAATCAATGAATCAATTACCTCTGTCATTTTTCTTTTTTTCTTTTCTATGTGAATGTGAATGATTTTATTTTAACTAAATTATACATATATGATGGACTGACACACAAAACAGATAACGAAATTTGTATGTGGGGAATACATAAATATTATTAGGGCCCCACTTAGTGGCGGGTCGCCATATAGTGATCAGTCTGTCCGTCCATCCGTAACAAAGTGTGTCCGCTCTATATCTAGAGAACCGTTATAATTTCATACTTTATACTTGACATGTATATTTACCAACACCCTAGGGTGTGTAATAATGTTTGTACAACTTCCTAGGTCAAAGTTCAAGGTCAAAAACTGGTTTCAGTTGACAACCCCATGTCCTATGGTAAAGATCGTGTCCACTCTTTATCTTGAGAACTGTTATGATTTCACAGTTTATACTTGACATGTATATTAACCAACAAAAGAGGGTGTCATAATGTATGTACAACTTCCTAGGTCAAAGGTCAAGGTCAAAAACTTTGGTTTCAGTTGACAACCCCATGTCCTATGGTACAGATCATGTCTGCTCTATATCTTGAGAACTGTTAGGATTTCAAAGTTTATACTTGACATGTATATTAACCAACAATAGAGGGTGTGTCATAATTTATGTACAACTTCCTAGGCCAAATATAACACTTTAACTAAAAAACATAGAATAAAATCACTCTCAGCACATAACGAGACTATGTAATAACTTAAAAAAGTGTTTCATATCAGCTTATCCATACAAATTTTTTACCACACGAAAACTGATGCTGATCATTGTCATTGTAGTCCTTAACATTTGCTGCAGAATTCATCTTTGTCTTTTTCCATCAATCCATACAACTGGCTTAGTTCTGTTCTCTTGTGAGTAATTATATGTGGAGATATTACTCCACCAGGACATGTTGTGTTATCACTCTGAAAGATAAAATAAACCAAGATAGGGAGATTGGCAACACAACAAAGTTAAACCAATCAAATAATTCAATCTGGTGTATTTTTGTCGAGCCTAGGACTACTGACGTATAGATTTCCACATGATAAAAAAATATTTACTGTACTTTAAAAATGGACAGTTTTATAGGTAAACACAAGAACTATTTAATCTAGTGAATACAGATACAGTACAAAGTTCCAACAATTTAAATGACATAATTCTGGCTTGATAAGTAATGCAAAATAACCTGTGTCTATTTCAAGAAATTTTTTATGCCCCGGCTGTAGCGGTGGGGGCATTAATAATAAGTTTTACCCTTGTCCGTCTTTACGAACGTACGTCCCAAAATTGGTTTCTGTTCTCTAACTTGAGTTTGCCTCAACCAAATGTTATGAAACTTATACCCAATGCTTATGACCACAAAACACAGATCAAGTTTGAATTTTGGTGGTATCACTTTAACCGTTCTTGAGTTATGCCCCTTTATAAATGGAAAAATTGCTAAAATTTTATTTTCTTCTAAATATCAAGTAATTTTTAAAATTGGAGTTATCTTCCTTTGTCCATGAATATAGTTGAATCAATTACAATCAATACTTTATACAATGCAATGTTTAATTTTGACTTCCACTGATAAAACACAGATCAAGTTGAATTTGGTTAGTGTCACTTTAACCATTATTGAGTTATGCCCCTTTATAAATCGAAAGATTGCAAAATTTTTAGTTTCCATTCTGTAACTTAAGTTTGCCCCAACCAAACATTATGAAACCTATACACAATATTCATTTCCACAAAACTAAGATCAAGTACAAATTTTTTGTTTCCGTTTTCTAACTTTAGTTTGCCTCAACCAAATGTTATGAAACTTATACACAATGCTTATTACTACATAATACAGATTAAGTACGAAATTTGGTGGCGACACTTTTACCATTCTTGAGTTATGTCCCTATAAAAATAAAAATTGCTGAATTTTTCGTTTCCGTTCTCTAACTTTAGTTTGTCTCAACCAAATGTTATAAAACTTGTACACAACCGTTCTAGAGTTATGTGTATTTACAAATAGAAAAATTGCTGAATTTTTAGTTTCTGTTCTCTACTTAAGTTAGCCTCAACCAAATGTTATGAGACTTACACACAATGCTTATTACCACAAAACTCAGATCAAGTTCAAATTTGGGTAGCGTCACTTTTACCTTTCTTCAGTTATGTCCCTTTATAACTATATGATATGCAAGCCGGGGCATCATCTGTGTCCACATGTGGACACTATCCACATTTATTTTTCTTATTATATTTCTAAAATTAAGGGTAAAGTGCATCCGTTGTACTGTTTAATAGCACATGTAACCTGCTCTAAGAGATTCAACCACTAACGTCTTTAATAGTCAAATAGTAACCTGTTATTTACAGCGGGGCTCACAGAGATGGCTTCCATCTCATTGATGTCTAGTTACAACAGACCTGCGCCTCCTTCTTTTTATACGACCGCTAAAAATTTTTGCGGTTGTATATTGGTATGACGTTGGCATTGATGTCATCGTCATCGTCCGAAGACACATTGGTTTTCGCACTCTAACTTTAGGTTAAGTGAATGGATCTCTATGAAATTTTACCATAAGGTTCAATACCACAAAAGGAAGGTTGGGATTGATTTTGGGGGTTATGGTACCAACAGTTAAGGAATTAGGGGCCAAAAAGGGGCCAAAAAAAAGTATTTTTGTAACTTCCAGACATAACTTGTGTGTTAGTGTATGGATCTCTCTGACATTGTTCCACAAGGTAACGTCACAAAGGGAAAGCTGGGTTTGAGTTTCGGGGTAATTGCCCTAAATGTTTAGGAATTTGGGGCCAAAAAACAAGCATTTTTAGCTCACCTGGCCTGAAGGGCCATGTGAGCTTTTCTCATCACTTGGCGTCCGTCGTCCGTCGTCGTTAGCTTTTTACAAAAATCTTCTCCTCTGAAACCACTGGGCCAAATTTAACAAAACTTGGCCACAATAATCATTAGGGTATCTAGTTTAAAAAATGTGTCCGATGACCCCGCCAACTAACCAAGATGGCCACCATGGCTAAAAATAGAACATAGGGGTAAAATGTAGATTTTGGCTTCTATCTCTGAAACCAAAGCATTTAAAGTAAATCTGACATAGGGTAAAACTGATTATCAGGTCAAGATCTATCTGCCCTGAAATTGTCAGACAAATCTGACAACCTGTTGTTGGGTTGCTGCCCCTGAATTGGTAATTTTAAGGAAATTTTGCAGTTTTTATTGGTTATTATCTTGAATATTATTATAGATAGAGATAAACTGTAAACAGCAATAATGTTCAGCAAAGTAAGATCTACAAATAAGTTGTCATGACCAAAATTGTCAGTCGACCCCTTTAGGAGTTATTGCCCTTAATAGTCAATTTTTAACAATTTTTTGTAAATTTTTGTAATCTTTTACAAAAATCTTCTTCTCTGAAACTACTGAGACATATTTAACCATACTTGGCCATAATCATTATTAGGGTAAATAGTTTAAAAAATTTGTCCGATGACCCCGCCTTCCAACCATCATGGCTGACTTGGTTAAAAATAGAACATAGGTGTAAAATGCAGTTTTTGGTTTATATCTCTGATACTAAAGCATTTAGAGCAAATCTGACAGGTGGCAAAAATGTTCATCAGATTTAGATCTATCTGCCCTGAAATTTTCAGACGAATCCGACAACCCGTTGTTGGGTTGCTGCCCCTTAGTTAGTAATTTTACAAAAATATTGGAGTTTTTTGTTATTATCTTAGATATCATTATAATATCTAATATTTAATACTAATAATTATGATTTTAACCTTATTTTATTGATTTCCAAAGCATCAGTAAATACAGGTGAGCGACACAGGCTCTTGAGAGCCTCTAGTTCTAGTTTCCAGACAATAACTTGTGTTCAAGTGTAATGTTCTCTCTGAAATTGTACTGCTGGTACCATACCACAAAGGGAAGGCTGGGATTGAGTTTGGGGGTGATGAATCATTAGGGGGTTCAAAAAATTTGGGGGGGGGGGATTTTTTTTTCTTTAAAATTTTCCGTTTTAAATTGGTTAATTCTGATTTATATATATAAAAGCAAATAATAATGATATGGTTTGAATAGGTAAATTAGAATTTTTTAAGTTCTTAGACCACATTCATTCTGTGTCAGAAACCTGTGCTGTGTCAAATATTTAATCACAATCCAAATTCTGTGCTGTATCAAGCTTGAATGTTCTATCTATACTTGCCCCAACTGTTCATGGTTCGACCTCTGCGGTCGTATCAAGCTGCGCCCAGTGGAGCATTTTATTTCTATTGTAATCAATTTTTTTTTAAATTCGATGACATTCTATTTGAAGGGAAAGTTTATTTACACAGTTGGACGTAATACACTAGATTAAGCTTTGCATGAAACATGAAATATAAAAATGCGCCTTTTTGTTATTCCCAAACTTTGATGTGCATTTTTTTTTTTCATCACTGCCGACATGCAGAAGATAGCAAAATAAAAATATGAATTTTTATACCCCCACTTTAAAAAAGGGTGGGTATACTGTTTGACCTCTGTCTGTCCTTCCGTCAGTCCATCCAGCAGTCCATCCGTCAGTCCATCCATCCGTCAGTCAGTCCGTCCGTCCAATGAATATTTTCGTTGCATTTTTCTCAGGAACTACTTGACAAGGATTTCTGAAATTTGGTTTCGGGGTTTATATAAGTAAGTTACACTGTGTGATGCGTTTTCAGATTCATCACTCAACAACTTCCTGTTTACCGAACACTTGTATTATTTTACACATGATAGCCAAGTTGAAAATTTTCGTCACATTTTTCTCAGGAACTACTTGACAAGGATTTCTGAAATTTGGTTTCAGGGTTTATATAAGTAAGTTACACCGTGTGATGTGTTTTCAGATTCATCACTCAACAACTTCCTGTTTACCGAAATATTACGGCGGGGGTACTGCTCACAGTTTTACTTGTATTTAATACTGTCCACTGAGATATACTGGCGTTATCAATTTCCCAGCTATTATATCTATCAAAACAAAACAATACATGGTGAGAGGATCTCAAAGATTTTACACGACTAAGTTTATTTTTACACCTTCTGAAGCACTATTCCGAACAATTCCCCCCCCAAACCACCACCTAAATAAAAAATAATATTATCCTTATTATATTTTTTTTTTCAAAATTGATTAAATCATTGTAAACTACTGCTTACAGTATAGAATTACACATGTAAATAATCTAGATATAAATGACAGAGGTAATTGATTGAAATGAAATTGACAAATCAAACACACCTACAACATACTTATGAATTAGTTTATAATTGACACCAGATTTAAAATTTAGATTGAAAATATACTTTTAAATTGACTTGTAAAACTGGTTTCACAATGTTTATATACTGTCTATACTTTTGATAGGTGCTTAACTATTGGCTCCGCCCAAAGGATGGTAGTACCTTAGCTAATAATGATTTCATGGTTCAGCTAGCAAGCAAGCTAACCAAATATACTACCTTTACCTACACACTCAAGTCAATGTGCTGTAATTATAGATCTGAGCTTTGCATATTTTATCTATTTGCAACTTTTGTTTAGTTGCAGTATAATTAAAACACACGAATAATTGATCAAATTCAGACAATGAAACTCGTTAAGACTTGAAATGTGACTTAAACTAACTTAAGGAAATTCCTCTGTAGAGTGGCCAGACTGCTTGATCACTGCCTGTTTATAAAGTGGTCCTAAATTGCATATATTTTTTAGGTGGAGTGTTTACATTACTTGTGAAGAGACAGCTTGGAGTCTCCCTTATTTACTACAGCTCACCATGGAGAGAGGAGCCAGAAAGAAAGCCACCACCAGTAGATTTATCTTCATATATGGGTAATGATTTGTTTAAGGGTTAAAAGTAATTAAATGTAGAAATCACTAAATGCTGACAATCCTTAAAACCAGCCGACATCTGTTCTGGGGAAATAGTTTTGCTTTTGTTTTGTCTATATGTACATGTATATGAAGAACAGCTATAAAAGCGCTGTTCTTTTACTTTTTGTGTGCTTTTTGCTATGCATGTACTGATTTTATGTCATGGATGAATACCCAATATCCTTTGTTTTACTATTATGTCCATCTGCCAAGGATCATTTGACCTTGACATCATTTTCATGGTTCATGTTCACATTAGAATTTCATAATGAGATAATCTTAGGAATAGGGTCTATTATATTAGCCATAGATAATTATTGTAAGTGTCCCTCTGTTAGGGTTCATTTGACCTTTACGTCATTTTCATGGTTCATGGTCTACATCAAAGTTTTCATAATGAGGTAATATAAGTAATAAATCAAATATATTTAGTGTAGAGGATTATTGTAAGTTTACTTGTCTGCCAGGGTTCATCTGATCTTGACCTAATTTTCAATTGATCATTTATGATGAATTTATGTGACACCTGTAGAAGGACCTTTATCTTGAAGACTTTCAATTCAATCATGACCAGTAAAGCAGGCATTTACAAAGCGTCAAGAAAAAAATTAATTTTTGTATATATAGAAGCACAAATGAAAAATGCCATTTTTATACGACCGCAAAAAAATTTTGTGGTCGTATATTGGTATGACGTTGGCGTCGTCGTCGTCGTCGTCGTCGTCCGAATACATATTGGTTTTCGCACTCTAACTTTAGTTTAAGTGAATGGATCTTTTTGAAATTTGACCATAAGGTTAAATACCACAAAAGGAAGGTTGGGATTGATTTTGGGGGTTATGGTACCAACAGTTAAGGAATTAGGGGCCAAAAAGAGGCCAAAAATGAGCATTTTCTAGTTTCCAGACAATAACTGTGGAACGGTGTATGGATCTCTCTGAAATTATACTACAAGTTTCCATACCACAAAGGGATGGTTAGGATTTGATTTGGGGGGTTATGGCTCAAACCGTTTAGGAATTAGGGGCAAAAAAGGGGGAAAAACAAGGTTGTCCTGGTTAATGGACAAATACTTTAGTACAAAACATAATTTAAAGCAGTGTAAGGGAGATAAATCAAATACATCATTGAAATTATCTCCCTTACACTGCTTTTAAATTATGTATAAAGTAATGGTTAATGAACAATAAAGATAATCTAAAACAGTGTAAGGGAGGTAATCCAAATACAACGTTTTGGTTACTTCCCTTACTCTGCTTTTAAATTATGTTTAAAGAAATGCATATTTATAAAGGAAGACCAGTAAAAATATCTGCAAATGTTTTCATCTTTTTTTTTTACAAAAAAATCCATATGAAAGATTTGACACTATATTTTTATTAATTCTATTATAAAATAGATTAAGTTAGCACTATGGTAAATTTAAATGGGTAATTATGGTTGCCAACTCCATTGGAAATTTGAATTGAGATTATGACCATATCTTGAGGGAAAGAATTTTTTTGGGGGAAAAAGGGGGGGGGGGGGGGGGATAAAAAGAAATTGTGGGGGGCCAATTTTTTCTCATTTCAGATTTCAGAAATTAAAAAGAATTATTCTTCAAATATTATTTTTTTTCAAATTTCAAATATTGAAAAATTTCAAGAAGTAATCTTTAATTGCACAGTATGGCGCATAATATTTGTAAAATCTTTGATCACATTTATTTATTTGTTATGCCGAATCTAACAGTGTATTTAGATTTTTAATTTTGGGTCCAGTTTTCAAATTGGTCTACATTAATGTCCAAAGGGTCCAAAATTAAACTTTGTTTGATTTTAGCAAAAATTGAATATATGAGGTTCTTTGATATGCTGAATCTAAACATGTATTTAGATTTTTGATTTTTGGCCCAGTTTTCAAGTTGGTCCAAATTGGGGTCCAAAATTAAACTTTGTTTGATTTCAACAAAAATTGAATATATGGGGTTCTTTGATATGCTGAATCTAACCATGTATTTAGATTTTTTATTTGTGGACCCCGTTATCTAATTGGTTCATATTGAGGTCAAAAGGGTCCAAAATTAAACTTTGTTTGATTTCATCTAAAATTGAATTATTGGGGTTCTTTGATATTCCAAATCTAACCGTGTATTTAGGTTCTTAATTTTGGGTCCTGTTTTTTAAATTGGTCTACATTGAGGTCCAAAGGGTCCAAAATTAAACTTAGTTTGATTTTAACAAAAATTGAATTCTTGGGGTTCTTTGATTTGCTAAATCTAAACATGTGTTTAGATTTTTGATTATGGGCCCAGTTTTCAAGTTGGTCCAAGATAGGGTCCAGTATTTAAACTTTGTTTGATTTCAACAAAAATTGAATATATGGGGTTCTTTGATATGCTGAATCTAAACATGTATTTAGATTTTTGATTATGGGCCCAGTTTTCAAGTTGGTCCAAATTGGGGTCCAAAATTAAACTTTGTATGATTTCAACAAAAATTGAATATATGATGTTCTTTGATATGCGGAATCTAACCATGTATTTAGATTTTTTATTTGTAGGCCCCGCTATCAAATTGGTTCATATTGAGGTCAAAAGGGTCCAAAATTAAACTTTGTTTGATTTCATCGAAAATTGAATTATTGGGGTTCTTTGATATGCCAAATCTAACCGTGTTTTTAGATTTTTAATTTGGGTCCCGTTTTTTAAATTGGTCTTCATTGAGGTCCAAAGGGTCCAAAATTAAACTTAGTTTGATTTTAACAAAAATTGAATTCTTGGGGTACTTTGATATGCTGAATCTAAACATGTATTTAGATTTTTGATTATGGGCCCAGTTTTCAAGTTGGTCCAAGTTGGGGTCCAAAATTAAACTTTTTTTTATTTCAACAAAAATTGAATATATGGGGTTCTTTGATATGCTGAATCTAACCATGAATTTAGAATTTTTATTTGTTGGCCCCGCTATCAAATTGGTCTACATTAAGGTCCAAAGGGTCCAAAATTAAACTTAGTTTGATTTTAGCAAAAATTGAATTCTTGGGGTTCTTTGATATGCTGAATCTAAACATGTGTTTAGATTTTTGATTATGGGCCCAGTTTTCAAGTTTGTCCAAGTTGGGGTCCAAAATTAAACTTTGTTTGATTTTAACAAAAATTGAATATATGGTGTTCTTTGATATGCTGAATCTAACCATGTATTTTGATTTTGGACATTGGACCATAATAGGTAAATTAAAAAAATTCAAGTTCTTAGACCACATTCTTTCTGTGTCAGAAACCTATGCTGTGTCAAATATTTAATAACAATCCAAATTCAGAGCTGTATCAAGCTTGAATGTTGTGTCCATACTTGCCCCAACTGTTCAGGGTTCGACCTCTGCGGTCGTATCAAGCTGCGCCCCAGCGAAGCATTTTATTAAAAAGTGGTGTCCCACAATCATCAGAAAGCTGTTTTCATGAAAATTTCTGTTCTAGTCTTAGACAAATGATTTTTTTATTAGTTGCTATGAGCATTGAACTAGCTTTCAGTAACTGCGAGTACTCTCAAAGCTGTAATAATAATTTTCAAACATAATATTATTGTGGAGCCTGCAAGATTTATTTTAGCAAAAGCGAGACATAGCCATTTTACATTCAGGCGGCAGCGGCGTCAGCATTTAGGTTCAGTCTGTGGTTAAATTTTTTTGGACATCAATAACTTTGTGAAACCTACATGGAATTTTATGAAATTGGGACAGAAGCTTGTTTATGACCAAAATACAGTATCCAAGGCAAAATTTTGGAAATATTTATTTTCTTTTTTTCTGATTTTACTGATAAATGGACTTAGTTTATTTACAGTTAACAAGTAGATACAGTCTGGGGTTAAAGTTTGTTACACATCAATTACTTTGTCAAACCTGCATAGAGTTTTATGAAACTTTGGCAGTAGCTTTTTAATGATTAAAAGATAATGTCTGAAGCAAACCTTTGAAAATATATTTTTTTCAGTTTTAGTATTTTTCTGATAGATGGACATCATTTTTTACAGTTAACATTTACTTTGTCAGTCTGGGATTAAATTTTTTTTACATAATAAATTTGTAAACCTTCATGGATTGTTATGAAACTTGGACAGAAGCTCATCTTCAAGACCAAGAAATAGCATCTAAAGAAAAAGAACGAATTTTTTTTTAATTCTGTATTTTACTGATGAATGGACTCCCTTTTTAAGTCAACATTACACTTTTACACTGACAGCAGCAATCGCAGGCGAGACACATGGGGGGTCCGCAGAACCCCTTACGAATTTCATAATCTCAGAATGCATATTTTGTAGTTTTCAAGAAAAATTGCCAAAACTCAAAAAATGCTTCAATTTTGTATAGTTGCGCTTGGTTTGAGTTATACATATAATTTTGTAGCTAAAAGACAGTCTCATATTTAATGTTTATTTTTAATGAAATAATAAATTTTGGAGGCAACTTGGACAGACCGTAAGTTAAATATGTCTAAAATGATTTTTGATAGAAGAACAGATTTCAATACTGATTTGAACTCAAGAAGCCCAAAAGATGTTTTATATTTTCAGGTTACTCCGTGATGTCAGGCCACCTTTACTCTAATAACACAAAAGGCTTGATTCCACCTTTACTCGAATAACCCAAAAGATTTTTTGTTTTTTCAGGTTACTCTGTGACATCAGGCCACTATTACTCAACTAACACAAAGGACATGATGTATGTGGGTGGATCTCCGCATGCAAATGGCACTGGTCAGGTAGTATTGTTTTATCAAGAGACTGGAGGTTATTTGAAGTATCGAGACAATCAGATTATTAAAGGTGATGAGCAGTTCTCTCTGTTTGGTTTTGAATTAGCTACTGTGGATTTAAATAATGATAGGTAAGAAAGGTTTAATATTATACAATTGTTTTAGTTACTGCTAGTATGTATAAGGTAAAGTTCAAATAGGTGTATAAATGTCGCCTTGGTATGGAAATTTCAGAATTCATTTAGGGGTTTATATACGACAGCAAAATTTTTGCGTTCTTATTATGTTTTGGCGATGTCTGCGTCATTGTTCGAAGACGTTTGTCGTCCGAAGACATTTTGGTTTCCAGACAATAACTTGAGTATAAGTGTATTGATCTCTATGAAGTTGTAGCACAAGGTTCCATACCACAATTGGAAAGTTGGGATTGATTTTGGGGGTTATTGTCTTAGCTGTTTAAGAATAAGGGGCCAAAAAATTAGTTCTCAAAAGACATTGGTCGTCCGAAAAGTCATTTTGTTTTTTTAGACGCTATGAAATTATACCACAAGGTTCCATACCACAAAGGAAGGTTGTGATTGATTTTGGGGGTTATGACCTGAAAGTTTAGGAAAAAGGGGCCTAAAACAATACTTTTGTAATACTTTGTATAAATTGATTATTTTTTGTCCAATTTCAATTGGGTTTAATTATAAGTCTTGAATTCTTGGGGTTCTTTAATATGCTGAATCTAACCGTGTATTTAGAATTTGGATTTTGGGTCCTGTTTTTGAATTGATCCATATTAAGGTCTAAAGGGTCCAAAATTAAACTTTGTTTGATTTCATCAGAAATTGAATTATTGGTGTTCTTTGATATGCCGAATCTTACCATGTATCTAAAATATTTAATTTTGGGGCCTGTCTTCAAATTGGTCCACATTTAGGTCCAAAGGGTCTAAATTAAACTTCGGGTTCTTTGATATGCTGAATCTAAATGTGTATTTAGATTTTTGATTTTGGGACCGTTTTCAAATTGGTTGATATTAAAGTCCAAAGGATCCAAAATTAAACTTTGTTTGATTTTAACAAAAATTGAATTCAAGGGGTTCTTTGATATGCTGAATATAAACATGTAGTAAGATTTTTGATTTTTGGTCCAGTTTTCAAGTTGGTTCAAATTGGGGTCTAAAATTAAACTTTGTTTGATTTCAACAAAAAATAAATACATGGGGGTTCTTTCATATGCTGAATCTAACCGTGTATTTAGATTTTTGATTTTGGGGTCTGTTATCAAATTGGTCTACATTGTGGTTCAAAGGGTTAAAATTAAACTTTGTTTGATTTCATCAAAAATTAAAATTTGTGGGGTTCTATATATTATGTGTCAGAAACCTATGATGTGTCAAATATTTAATCACAATCCGAATTCAGAGCTGTATCAAGTTTGAATGTGGTGTCCATACTTGCCCAAACTGTTCAGGTCCGACCTCTGCATTTGTATCAAGCTGCGCCTCGCAGAACATTTTATTTAAAATGCAATCTTTCAAGGCCAAGTCATTAAAGAATATAAGTATGGCAGTAAAAGGCAGAATTCACTAAGGTGTTTCTATATGTTCTTTCAATACAGATTTCACTTGGGTGTATTAAAAATATACAATCTTGGTAGACCAGTGTCAAAGGTGTATGAATATGACGACCTAGGCAGTTAGATTACACTAATGAGTATAATTAAAGTCATGAGGGAGATTTCACTAAGGTGTATAACTATTGTCTGAAAGCACAGGTTACAAAGATGTATATATATGTCCTTGGATAGCAAAGTTCTTTAAGCTTCATGTGAGCATGCTAAACTTTTTACCAAATACTTTTGTGTTCTTTCACATAACGACCTTGTAGCATTTTTTTTCTCAGAAACTACAAATGAAGACTTTCTGAATTAGGACTCAATCTTCATGTGAGGATGCTATACCATTTGATATGTTATTACATCAATCACTCATGAACTTACAGAAGGCATATCATGAGTAAGCAATAGCTCAGAGTTTAACTTGTTTTGACAGGTTTAAAGGGTTGATATTACTATTCATACATGCAATGGTAGAAATAACCATTTTTTTTAAATTTTTGGTATTGTTTTTTTCAGTTATGATGACCTGATTGTAGGAAGTCCATTACATTACGAAAAATCAAGAGCTGGTGGTGCCATTTATGTTTACATGGGAAAAGCTGGAGGAGTAAGATATTTTCTGACATAGACATAAGCTCTAAAGGGGTGTTAGTTGTCAAATTCATGTTCACTGCTTTGACCCAAATTCTCATATTTGATTTCTAACATACTAAAACATATATTCAAATTACAAAAAGTCCAAAAGAAACAATTAACAATGCATGTCATAATGCATCAGCATTTTTGCGAAATTAAGACCAAATGCCATCTTATCCATCAAGAGGACCTCTGAAGACTGCCAAGGGTCATATAACCTGATATAAACATAAACAAACAAACATGCATGTGCTATCAGAATAAAGATTCTTATCTAGGTCTGTTTGATTTCATGTTATATCATCGTTTTACCTGTATAAAAAAGACTTTTGGTGGTCTGGATCATTCAACCAAATGGTTATTCTAAGTGTCTCCCTTGTTTCACTTTCAAAGTTGACATTCTTTTTTTTTAAAGGAATGACCATACTGACCACATGCTGAACACATGTGCAACCTTCTCTACTAAAGGTCAAATTTAAACAACTGTACTCAAAACTCAACATAGAAAACTAAAGACTGAGCAACAATTGTAACTTACATGTGTCTGGACATATTATCTTGCATTGGAAAGCCTTGTCTATAAATGTTACTTTTCAAAATGGTCTGTAAAAATGGATATATACTTAATTTTAATTCAGATAACTGGTGGTAGTAAACCTATAAAGATTACCAATCAGAAAGAATCGGAAGAAGAATGTGCTATGACAACATGTACAGAATCTCGTTTTGGTTTCTCTCTAGCACCTGCTGGAGATATTAATTTAGATGGATATCAAGGTAATGGATAAGAATAAAAAAGAACTTGGGGAAACAGAAAAAAAAGTTGGTCACAATTACCTATATTTATTCAATTTTATTATGTTCACCTCCTTAACTTATTTATAACATAAATGTTTGAAGGACCTTTAGGTAAGACACAACACATGCAGCAGTATGAAACACCAAATCTGTACAATTAACCAATTACTTTTTGTAGTTAATACATCGTTATACTGGTTCCCAGCTGACTACTACACTTTGTTCATAGCATTATATACAAGTGGATTCAAGTTTATGTTATGTTTTTATACGACCGCAAAAAAATTTTTGTGGTCGTATATTGGTATGACGTTGGCGTCGTCATCGTCCGGCGTCGTCGTCGTCGTCCGGCGTCGTCCGAAGACACATTGGTTTTCGCACTCTAACTTTAGTTTAAGTGAATGGATCTTTATGAAATTTTACCACAAGGTTCAATACCACAAAAGGAAGGTTGGGATTGATTTTGGGGGTTATGGTAATAACAGTAAAGGAATTAGGGGCCAAAAAGGGGCCAAAAATAAGCATTTTTGTAACTTCCAGACATAACTTGTGTGTTAGTGTATGGATCTCTCTGACATTGTACCACAAGGTTCCATATCACTAAAGGAATGCTGGGATTGATTTTGGGGGTAATTGCCTCCAAATTTTAGGAATTAGGGGCCAAAAAAGGGGCAAAAAACAAGCATTTTTCTAGTTTCATGACAATAACTTGTGTGTAAGTGTATGGATCTTTCTGAAATTGTACTACAAGGTTCCATATCACAAAGGGAAAGCTGGGTTTGAGTTTGGGGGTAATTGCCCTAAACGTTTAGGAATTTGGGGCCAAAAAGGGGCCAAAAAACACATTTTTTTCTAGTTTCCAGACAATAACTTGTGTTCAAGTGTATGGATCTCTCTGAAATTGTACTGCAAGGTACCATACCACAAAGGGAAGGCTGGGATTGAGTTTGGGGGTGATGAATCATAATGGGGGTTCAAAAAATTTTGGGGGGGATTTATTTTTTTTCCCTTTTTTCCTTTTTTTCCTTTTTTGTTTCTTTTAAAATTTTCCATTTTAAGTTGGTTATTTCTGATTTATATTTAAAATCAAATAATAATGATATGGTAGGAGATACACACCAAACAGGATGTGTAAATTATTATATAATAAGTATTGTGCAATAGCAAGAAATTTTCAATTGCACAGTATTGCACAATAGCAAGAAATCTTCAATTGCACAGTATTGCGCAATAGCAAGAAATCTTCAATTGCACAGTATTGCGCAATAGCAAGAAATATCCAATAGCACAATATTGCGCAATAGCAAGAAATTGTCAATTGTACAGTATTGCGCAATAGCAAGAAATATTTAATAGCACAGGATTGTGCAAAAAGAAGATAGTTCCTATAAATTGCTTATTTCTTGACCAATTTCAATGGGGTTTTATTCTTGATTTCATGGGGTTCTTTAATATGCTGAATCTAACCGTGTATTTAGTTTTTGGATTTTGGGCCCCGTTTTTAAATTGGTCCACATTGAGGTCCAAAGGGTCCAAAATTAAACTTTGTTTGATTTCATCAAAAATTGAATTATTGGGGTTCTTTGATATGCCGAATCTAACTGTGTATTTAGATTCTTAAATTTTGGTTCCGTTTTCAAATTGGTCTACATTAAGGTCCAAAGGGTCCAAAATTAAACTTAGTTTGATTTTAACAAAAATTGAATTCTTAGGGTTCTTTGATATGCTGAATCTAAACATGTATTTAGATTTTTGATTATGGGCCCAGTTTTCAAGTTGGTCCAAATCGGGGTCCAAAATTAAACTTTGTTTGATTTCAACAAAAATTGAATATATGGGGTTCTTTGATATGCTGAATCTAACCATGTATTTAGATTTTTGATTTTTGGGCCCCGTTATCAACTTTGTCCACATTGAGGTCAAAAGGGTCCAAAATTAAACTTTGTTTGATTTCATCAAAAATTGAATTATTGGGGTTCTTTGATATGCCGAATCTAACCGTGTATTTAGATTCTTAATTTTTGGTTCCGTTTTCAAATTGGTCTACATTAAGGTCCAAAGGGTCCAAAATTAAACTTAGTTTGATTTTAACAAAAATTGAATTCTTAGGGTTCTTTGATATGCTGAATCTAAACATGTATTTAGATTTTTGATTATGGGCCCAGTTTTCAAGTTGGTCCAAATCGGGGTCCAAAATTAAACTTTGTTTGATTTCAACAAAAATTGAATATATGGGGTTCTTTGATATGCTGAATCTAACCATGTATTTAGATTTTTGATTTTTGGGCCCCGTTATCAACTTTGTCCACATTGAGGTCAAAAGGGTCCAAAATTAAACTTTGTTTGATTTCATCAAAAATTGAATTCTTGGGGTTCTTTGATATGCTGAATCTAACCATGTATTTAGATTTTGGATATTGGACCATAATAGGTGAATGTCCAATTTAAAATTTTTAAGTTCTTAGACCACATTCAATCTGTGTTAGAAACCTATGCTGTGTCAAATATTTAATCACAATCCAAATCCAAAGCTGTATCAAGCTTGAATGTTGTGTCCATACTTCCCCCAACTGTTCAGGGTTTGACCTCTGCGGTCGTATCAAGCTGCGCCCTGCGGAGCATTTTATTATGCTATGAAAAGAAATGAAAAATTTGTAATGAAGCATATAATTTTGATATCAGTAGATATTGGATTTTTAAATTAAAACTGCATATCAATATTTATTAGGTAAAGTATTAGAGTTTTGAGAATGGATAAGGACCTCCTCTACAATTTCAATATCAAACCTGGCTGAACTTAAACAAACATTACAAAATCAAGTTTTTCTCTATTTTTGGCTTATAGGACTCCATAATTCACACCCTGCTTGGCTATTTTAATTTTGGAGTAAAAGATTTTGGACAATAGAAGAATTTTGGAGTAGCATATTTATTTTGTCTGATATCGGAATCGTGTATTGGGATTGAAAATTTTGTTTAAAGTATGAGGCAACATTGGGGAATTTTTCTTCAAGTCAAAGGCGACATAAAGTTTTCCTTGAAAAAAATGAATACAACACATTATAAATTTCATGCGATCGAAAGAGCTTTTCTGGATTTAAATTCATCAGGAGCACTCAATACTAAATATTTGAAAGCCAAGGATGTATAAGAACCGAAACAGTTGAAGAACTATACGACCAAAAAGGACCTAAAAAATAGCCAAATCCATCTAAGTTCAACTTTGTCTGAGGGAGTTGAAACCTTAGTTTCTAAATAATTTCAAAATTTATAAACGGACAATTTTAGAAAGGTTTGTTATAAATCATGTCAGTACCAAAGTACTGACTACTGAGCTGGTGATACCCTCTGGGACTGATAGTCCACCAGCTTGAAGCTTCTAAAGTGTTAAGTCGAGAATCCTGGGGCTCACTTTGCCTGTTAGGGTGATCCCTGACTATAACCTTCATTGATCCATATTTTCTCATTTAAGAGTTCAGTACTCAAATACTAAGTGACCGTTAGAACTTAGTGTACAGATGCATTTTTGGGAGTATAAAATACTGAGGGAATAGAAAACTTTGATTAAAAAGATTGAGCAACAAGAACCCAACCAAGTGTGAACTAAGTGCACTGAGAAACAAGAACCCAACCAAGTGTGAATTAAGTGCTCTGAGCAACAAGAACCCAACCAAGTGTGAACTAAGTGCTCTGAGAAACAAGAACCCAACCAAGTGTGAACTAAGTGCTCTGAGCAACAAGAACCCAACCAAGTGTGAACTAAGTGCTCTGAGAAACAAGAACCCAACCAAGTGTGAACTAAGTGCTGTGAGAAACAAGAACCCAATCAAGTGTGAACTAAGTGCTCTGAGCAACAAGAACCCAACCAAGTGTGAACTAAGTGCTCTGTAATGTTCTATGACAACAGATATTACCCAACCAAGTGTGAACTAAGTGCCCTGTAATGTTCTATGACAACAGATATTGCCAATCTTTACTAATTCTTCCTTATGTATATGTCTATTTTTGGTTATCAGATTTGGTTGTTGGTGCACCATATGAAGAAAATGGAAAAGGAGCAATCTACTTATTCCATGGATCAGCAGATGGTATTGTAAAGAAGTATGCACAAGTAAGTTTGAACATCACTGTCCAAAATATAAAATATCAATGGGGAACAAAAAATTATCTCTTTTGTCATAAATCTTTTATCAGAGATTCACATGTGAAACTGAAATATCCAAATCTAGGACAATTATGGCTGTTTATATTAGATTTATTTAAAGTAAGTTTTCTTGGCTAAGTTTCCATCAAGTAATTAGAGAATTCTTGATTATTAAAAAAAAAATCATCAAGGTAACAGTAAGTGTTATTAAATTTTTCTATAAATGGAATATAGACAAATGTTTACTTGGTTTGGCCATAAACTGTGATTCCTCACAATGCAGGAACAAGTCTTCTATTAAGGGCATACGATACAGTTGCAGGAGAGGTAATGACGTTACTAACGTAAATTGTTATTTTCGCGACGTCAAACAGTGACTTATCGGGAAAAGATACAGTTTTTGACTGATTTTTATCATTCAAACTGATTTAACTTGAAAACGAGTTCATGGACCCCTCTTTTTTAAAATGACATTTGGTTTGATTATGTATGAAGATTATGTGTACCAATTTTCATGAAAAAGTCAATAGTGAATTTTTTTTTTAAATGATAAATATACAGCAAAAAATGACATTTTTTTCTACATTCATGAACATTTGATAAATATGAGTTATTTGTAGAAATAAAATGTACAAATTTATAGAAAATTTGTGTAAAACAGAAATCACAAATAATTTAACAAAAAACAGCTTGTGTTTATCTTTTAAAACAAAAAAGTTATGTATTTCTGTCGAAAGGAAAAATACGTCCACAAATCTGAATTTTGAGGAAATATCTGAAATTTCAACCTCAATTTACTCAAAAAGTAGCACGTGATGGTATATTTTTTATTACATATTTGATTTAATCAGGTAAAAAATAGCCTGTATGCAAATTTTCATCAAAATTTCATTACAGGATCTAAACTGTATCGTACGCCCTTAAAGGTGAAAACTATAAACACCCCTTTGGATGACTTAAATTGTGAATTTGATATGTTTTATAACATTAGATAAATAATACATCATGATATCATTCTAGAGAATATCTGGAAAAGAGATTGATCCAACCATCATGACATTTGGACATGCAATTAGTGGTCAGATGGATTTAGATGGGAATGGTTATGATGATGTAGCAGTTGGATCATACCAGAGTGATACAACCTATCTGTTACGAACCAGACCAATTGTACATCTGTCAGCCAAACTAAAAGTCTTTCCTAACAAATTTAACCTGAGTCAGCCTCCAGATTGCATTATTCCTAATAACGACATGAAGAAATACTGCATAAACCTGCAACTCTGTATGTCATTTACTGCCAAACCACTTAACAGGTATGTATCATTCCAAAATACATTTATTTAGAGAGGTACCAAGGGCAGTGTGTCCAGCAAACATAGAGCAGACAATTTCAAGTCATTATTTGTACTCTAATAACAAACAAATGTTGAAATGTATAATTGCTGGAGTTAAATCTTCCATGAAGGATGGTTTTGAGTATCTTAAGGTGGTACCCAACACCTTGACTAATATTAATTTGGCTCGTTTAATTTTCCTAAAATTTTGACAAAATGTTTACTTTGACCCTTTGACAAAAATATAAAAATTTCAAATAATTTGAACCAACCACTTTATCAGAAAAATTTCACTGGTTATATAGCAGTTTGACAAACACTAATTTTGATCACTGAGAAGCTTAATATTTCCTTAACAATACAACGTGATTAAAACGTTTAATTGATTTTTACAGAGTTATCTCCCTGTAGTGTTAGGTACCACCTTACTATTGTATAAGAATAGAAAGATCAGTTATATAAATGAATATTGGTTGCCATTGGAAACTGTTCTGAGTGATTAACCACTAAACATTTTGTGTGAAAATTAATTTTTTTCTATTTATATATATAAATTTGTACATAAAGAGGGTGACAGAGAATATATTTCAGGTGTATAAAGAATATATGAAACAGGAACAGGCAATGTTTAAATTTTATGTCTGCATCTGTTATTCTGTTAAAAATTAAACAATTTTTTTATTATTTGGAGAATTTAGTGTTTATGGCAGATCAATTTGTATCACAAGTTTTGGCTCTATATTTCTTTTTGTAACTTTTGTTTTTGGTAGCTGTCTCATTGTTGAATACCCAGCATCTCCTGTATTCATATCATGTGACATTTGTTTTTGGTAGCTGTCTCATTGCTGAATACCCAGCATTATCCTTTATTCATATCATGTGACATTTATTAATTCACAACCAACAAGCAAACTTGTCAAATTTTTTATTTTATCTTTTCAGTTTTAATACTCCTCAGTCCATACTTTACACAATTGAGGTTGAGAAGGGTGTGAGTAAAAAGCGAGCATTATTTGTGAATCCAGGTGGAACAATAAAAAAGAGTATAACCGATTTAAATGAACAAAAGGTGGAAGTGTGTACTACAGAGAAAGTTAAATTAATTGTAAGTTTTATTATACAGAGCAGCTTCAGAGGGTGTTGCAACAGAGCATTTCAAGTATGGACTTTCTATTATATGTATATAATTTAATTTTGGATGTAACATGTCTTTTTTTTCTGTCTATTCGAAATAACTAAAAAATGTGGCGCTCACTTTTAAATAACCTGCTACGTGGGTTATTCAGTGTGCACCACATTTTTTATGTTATTTCTTCATTGACAGAAAAAATATTACAGTCATTCCTTAAATGATGGAAGTTTGTAAAGATTAGAAGAGTAGTAATTATAACGAAAAAATTACTACGAAATGAACCTTTTGAATTTCCAGCAGTTTATATTATGATAAAGGGGAATGAAACCTTTAGCAATACATACATACATAAAAGGTGTTTCAATTTTGAATACACTTAAGAATTTAGTTTATATTAAACAATCCAGGATTGTTTTTGTCGAGCTTGCGACAAAGCAGGACATAGGGATAGTGATCCGACGGCAACGGCGGCGTTCACTAACATCTTAAAAGCTTAATATTTCAGAAGATAGAAGACCTGGATGCTTCATACTTTGTATATGGATGCCTTATGTTATGAAGTTTCTGTCTGTCATATGTTCATTGTCCTTGACCTCATTTTCATGGTTCAGTGACTACTTGAAAAAAAGTTAAGATTTTTTGTAATGTTAATTTCTCTCTTATTATGAGTAATAGGCTAACTATATTTGGAATGTGCGTACCTTGCAAGGTCCTCATTCCTGTCGGACCTCATTTCATTGATCAGTGAACAAGGTTAAGTTTTCGTGGTCAAGTCCATATCTCAGATACTATAAGCAATAGCTCTATTATATTTGGTTTATGGAATGATTGTAAGGTGAACACGTCCAACTGGCAGTTGACCTTGACCTCATTTTCATGGTTCAGTGGTTAAAGTTAAGTTCGTGTTTTGTTCTGTTTTTCTAATACTGAATGCAATAGGTCAACTATATTTGATGTATGGAATGATTGTAAGGTGTACATGTCCAACTGTCAGTTGTCCTCAGACCTTGACCTCATTTTCATGGTTCAGTGATTAAAGTTAAGATATTTGTGTTTTGGTCTTTTTTTCTAATACTGTATACATTAGGTCAACTATATTTGGTGTATGGAAATATTGTATGATGTAAATGGCAGTCTGGCAGGTTTTATTTGATCTTGACCTCATTTTCACAGTTCATTGCTCAGTGTTAAGTTTCTGTGTTTTGGTCTGTTTTTCTTAGAACTATGAGCAATTGGTCAACTATATTTGGTGTAAGGAATGATTTTAAGGTTTATATGTCTGTCTGGCATGTATCATCTGACCTTGATCTTATTTTCATGGTTCATTGGTCAACATTAAGTTTTCTTGGTTAAGTTTGTTACTTAGATACTATATGCAGTAGGTCAACTATATTTGATGCATGGCATGATTGTAAAGTGTATAGGTCTGTCTGGCAGGGTTCATCTGACCTTTAGCTTATTTTCATGGTTCATTGGTCAATATAAAGTTTTCATTGTTTGGTCTGTTTCTTGTATTTCTATATTCTAAACTATTCTATAAACTATATTCGGTGTATGGAATGATTGTAAGGTGTACATGTATTTCTGGCTTGGTTTACCTGACCTTGACCTCATTTTCTTGCATCATGTTAAAGTTTATGTGATACTTGTAGTAAAGCTTTATATTTAGGACTTTCAACATAAAATCAATGGTCAGTAAAGAAGGCGAGACATTTTAGCATGTGCACTCTTGTTTAATCTGTCGATATTGAATTCCTTTTTTGTTACAAGCTATTAGGCCAGTATTGCTTTTTAGTTTGGAAAATGTTTTATCAATGTAGAGTTACTGTAGCTGTAACAAGAATTATTAGATCTTTTACAAAGTTTTTGACAATGAAAAGACAAACTTCATACTCATGTCTTTATTTAAGTGAACCTGTTCTATTTCTTTTTAGGATAGTTTCAATGATAAATTGACACCAATATCATTTACAGTGACATACAATTTGGCAGATATTCCATACCCTGATCCTAGTCAATGTTCCAATGGAGTACCTGATATCAATAAGTATCCTGTACTTGTGACAGGGATGGATGAGTCAACAACTCTTGTGACTAAGGTATATAGATATATGTCATATTTTTGTATAAACAAGAGACACAATTTCATTTCAACCACTAGCTGTGAATATATTGTATATCATGCATCATGCTATGTTTATATCTGAAGTTTGTCAGTTATCTCAATAAGAGAGCTTAGATAAAAAGAGAACATGAAATGTGCACTACATTTATGTTAGAAAATATTTAAGCAACAAAATCACTTGAGTTATGACATAATCTACATTTATGCTGATTTTTGTCTCGCCTTGACGGAGTCAAAAAGCGAGACATAGGTATGCTGTTGTCGTGGGCAGTGGCGGCATCAACAATGTATTAGTTTGTAATTAGGTCTAGTTTATGGTGAACCACTAGTGGTAGGTCAATGATGTTTGGTATGCAATTGTATAACATTGACACATCTTATTTCCATGGAGATTATTTGGCCCTGCCCCCTCAGTCATGGTCTATTGACTTTGAAACTTTCACTTAGTTTACATATATTAGTTTGTGATTAGGTCAGTTTATGGGGAACCACTAGTGGTAGGTCAATGATATTTGGTATGCAGTTGTATAAGCATTGGCATGTCTCATTTCCATGGAGATTATTTGGCTCCGCCCCCTCAGTCATGGTCTATTGACTTTGAAACTTTTGCTTAGTTTACATGTATTAGTTTGTGATTAGGTCAGTTCAAGGGGAACCATTAGTGGTAGGCTAATGTTAATTGGTATGCAGTTGTATAAGCATTGGCACATCTCATTTCCATGGACAATATTTGGTCCCGCCCCCTCAGTCATGGTCTATTGACTTTTAAACTTTTGTTTAGTTTTCATGTATTACCGTATAGCGGGTAATTTTCGCGGGGTGTTTATTTTCACTTATTTTGGCGGGTGAATAAAAATCGCGAAAATTTATGCATACATTCGATACTTTCTAATAGCTAAAGCGTTTTGAAACGTTCTATATTTTTCCTGTCGACGGGTCAATAACTGTGTATAATAGTTTAAACAACGCAAATGCCAAAGGGCATTATTCACATGTAGTTTATGAAATCGCTGCATGTCAAGTGTTAATTAGTTAATTAGTGTCGAATTTAATGTACTCTGTCAGGTATTTACCCTTTTTAATTAGTGTCAAATTATACATGTATAAGAGTTGCAAGTCACTCTTAATAACTTTATAACCTAATGAGTACATCTAAGGTCAATTTTGTAACTAATCAACCGCATCATTTACAAGGAGTTTTGTACACTTCAACCGTCACATATACAAGAAGTTTTTACACCTGTGAGAAATATCTTAGTACCGGTATTCTATTGATTAACTGTATCAAAATTTGATCAATAAATAAGACGTCATGCCTGTAAAACAATCATTTTACCATAACAATAGACACGTGTTTGTCAATTTTTACAACTTTTTAACTGCAAACATTTCAGATTCCGCCTAAATATTTATTTGGGATTTAAGAATCCGCCAAAATAAAAACCGCCCAAATTTTTCGTATACCTTGTTGCCCATAAATCGAGAAATTTTACACCCGCTAAAATAACCCGCTATACGGTTGTTTGTGATTAGATCAGGTTAAGAAGAACCGCTAATATTAAGTCAATGATATTTGGTATTGGCATTTGCAAGTCTCATCTCCATGGAGATTATATAGCCCCACCCCCTCATCATGGTTCATTTACTTTGAAACTTTTACATAGTTTACAAGTTAATGTTTGTGTTTAGATTTGTTTAAAGATAACAACTTATGATAAATCAATGGTATTTGGTATGCAGTTGTATTAGCATTGGCACATCTCATTTCCATGGAGGTTGTTTTGCCATGTACCTTCAGACTTTGAATATTTGCATAACTTACATGTTAAAATATTGTTATTTTAATTTCAACATTTGCATTATCAAAATTTCAAAAAGGTGAGACATATGATATCTCTGTATTAACATTTTATGTTTGTTTGCACAATGCTGAGAATGGAAAATCATGTATAAAATGATAAAAGACATAGTTATGCTATTTTAGATTATTCAAAAGAATTTTAATGATATGGTATACATTATACCTTTGTTTGTTGTCATCACAGAAATATTAGGAAAATAACTTTCTAATTTTTTCACTTTTTTCACATTTCCCAATTGATTGTGAAAAAATTGTTTTTCCTCACTAGTGAAATAACTGTTCTAGGCAATTGATTGGTCTAAATTTAATTATGACATCAATTTTTATACGACCGCAAAAAAATTTTTGTGGTCGTATATTGGTATGACGTTGGCGTCGTCGTTGTCGTCGTCGTAGTCGTTGTCGTCGTCGTCCGGCGTCGTCCGAAGACACATTGGTTTTCGCACTCTAACTTTAGTTTAAGTGAATGGATCTTTATGAAATTTTACCACAAGGTTCAATACCACAAAAGGAAGGTTGGGATTGATTTTGGGGGTTATGGTAATAACAGTAAAGGAATTAGGGGCCAAAAAGGGGCCAAAAATAAGCATTTTTGTAACTTCCAGACATAACTTGTGTGTTAGTGTATGGATCTCTCTGACATTGTACCACAAGGTTCCATATCACTAAAGGAATGCTGGGATTGATTTTGGGGGTAATTGCCTCCAAATTTTAGGAATTAGGGCCAAAAAAGGGGCAAAAAACAAGCATTTTTCTAGTTTCATGACAATAACTTGTGTGTAAGTGTATGGATCTTTCTGAAATTGTACTACAAGGTTCCATATCACAAAGGGAAAGCTGGGTTTGAGTTTGGGGGTAATTGCCCTAAACGTTTAGGAATTTGGGGCCAAAAAGGGGCCAAAAAACACATTTTTTTCTAGTTTCCAGACAATAACTTGTGTTCAAGTGTATGGATCTCTCTGAAATTGTACTGCAAGGTACCATACCACAAAGGGAAGGCTGGGATTGAGTTTGGGGGTGATGAATCATAATGGGGGTTCAAAAAATTTTGGGGGGGGATTTATTTTTTTTTCCTTTTTTTTCTTTTTTTCCTTTTTGTTTCTTTTAAAATTTTCCATTTTAAGTTGGTTATTTCTGATTTATATTTAAAATCAAATAATAATGATATGGTAGGAGATACACACCAAACAGGATGTGTAAATTATTATATAATAAGTATTGTGCAATAGCAAGAAATTTTCAATTGCACAGTATTGCACAATAGCAAGAAATCTTCAATTGCACAGTATTGCGCAATAGCAAGAAATCTTCAATTGCACAGTATTGCGCAATAGCAAGAAATATCCAATAGCACAATATTGTGCAATAGCAAGAAATTGTCAATTGTACAGTATTGCGCAATAGCAAGAAATATTTAATAGCACAGGATTGTGCAAAAGAAGATACTTCCTATAAATTGCTTATTTCTTGACCAATTTCAATGGGGTTTTATTCTTGATTTCATGGGGTTCTTTAATATGCTGAATCTAACCGTGTATTTAGTTTTTGGATTTTGGGCCCTGTTTTTAAATTGGTCCACATTGAGGTCCAAAGGGTCCAAAATTAAACTTTGTTTGATTTCATCAAAAATTGAATTATTGGGGTTCTTTGATATGCCGAATCTAACCGTGTATTTAGATTCTTAATTTTTGGTTCCGTTTTCAAATTGGTCTACATTAAGGTCCAAAGGGTCCAAAATTAAACTTAGTTTGATTTTAACAGAAATTGAATTCTTAGGGTTCTTTGATGTGCTGAATCTAAACATGTATTTAGATTTTTGATTATGGGCCCAGTTTTCAAGTTGGTCCAAATCGGGGTCCAAAATTAAACTTTGTTTGATTTCAACAAAAATTGAATATATGGGGTTCTTTGATATGCTGAATCTAACCATGTATTTAGATTTTTGATTTTTGGGCCCCGTTATCAACTTTGTCCACATTGAGGTCAAAAGGGTCCAAAATTAAACTTTGTTTGATTTCATCAAAAATTGAATTATTGGGGTTCTTTGATATGCCGAATCTAACCGTGTATTTAGATTCTTAATTTTTGGTTCCGTTTTCAAATTGGTCTACATTAAGGTCCAAAGGGTCCAAAATTAAACTTAGTTTGATTTTAACAAAATTGAATTCTTAGGGTTCTTTGATATGCTGAATCTAAACATGTATTTAGATTTTTGATTATGGGCCCAGTTTTCAAGTTGGTCCAAATCGGGGTCCAAAATTAAACTTTGTTTGATTTCAACAAAAATTGAATATATGGGGTTCTTTGATATGCTGAATCTAACCATGTATTTAGATTTTTGATTTTTGGGCCCCGTTATCAACTTTGTCCACATTGAGGTCAAAAGGGTCCAAAATTAAACTTTGTTTGATTTCATCAAAAATTGAATTCTTGGGGTTCTTTGATATGCTGAATCTAACCATGTATTTAGATTTTGGATATTGGACCATAATAGGTGAATGTCCAATTTAAAATTTTTAAGTTCTTAGACCACATTCAATCTGTGTTAGAAACCTATGCTGTGTCAAATATTTAATCACAATCCAAATCCAAAGCTGTATCAAGCTTGAATGTTGTGTCCATACTTCCCCCAACTGTTCAGGGTTCGACCTCTGCGGTCGTATCAAGCTGCGCCCTGCGGAGCATTTTATTCTTATTTTCTTCTGAATTTCCTATTGTGATGTCATGAAAAAAGGCCACCATGCCTGATGATGTCACATATAAAGAACACCACTTTCTGCAAATCTTTGATAAGGAAGGATACAAATCATTAGAGAAACAGATTCCACCACTATAACTCATATATTATGATATTTCTCCACTTTCAACAGTTAAATTTTAATTATCTAAAAAGCTCTGCAAGCCTCGCACTGTAGATATTTGAATTAAACTGTCTTGAGTGGAGAAATGTTACAACACACTTGTTGCAGTGGTGGAATCTATAATTCATGGTTAATTTGACACATGTTTTACAAATTTCTCCATCCATGGGATTCTAGGCTGAACCTTGAAATGGGAGAATAATTGAAGAAATTGATGGAAGCCTTGAAAATGTGATAGTCTATTTAACTTTTAAGCAAGTCTTGGTCAATCAATGTGAAATTTATTATTAGCTCACCTGGCCCAAAGGGCCAAGTGAGCTTTTCTCATCACTTGGCGTCCGTCGTCCGTCATCGTCGTCGTCAGTCGTCGTTAACTTTTACAAAAATCTTCTCCTCTGAAACTACTTGGCCAAATTAAGACCAAACTTGGCCACAATCATCATTGGGGTATCTAGTTTAAAAAATGTGTCCGGTGACCCGGCCAACCAACCAAGATGGCTGCCATGGCTAAAAATAGAACATAGGGGTAAAATGTAGATTTTGGCTTATATCTCTGAAACCAAAGCATTAAGAGCAAATCTGATAAAGGGTAAAATTGTTTATCAGGTCAAGATCTATCTGCCCTGAAATTTTCAGATGAATCTGACAACCCATTGTTGGGTTGCTGCCCCTGAATTGGTAATTTTAAGGAAATTTTGCCGTTTTTGGTTATTATCTTGAATATTATAATAGATAGAGATAAACTGTAAACAGCAATAATGTTCAGCAAAGTAAGATCTACAATTAAGTCAACTTGACCAAAATGGTCAGTTGACCCCTTAAGGAGTTATTGCCCTTTATAGTCAATTTTTAACCATTTTTCGTAAATTTTTGTTATCTTTAACAAAAATCTTCTCCTCTGAAACTACTATGACAAATTTAACCAAACTTGTCCACAATCATCATTAGGGTATTTAGTTTAAAACATGTGTCCGATGACCCCGCCCGCGAACCAAGATGGCCGACATGGCTAAAAAATAGTACATAGGGTAAAATGCAGTTTTTGGCTCATATCTCTGAAACCAAAGCATTTAGAGCAAATCTGACACGGGGTAAAATTGTTTATCAGGTCAAGATCTATCTGCCCTGAAATTTTCAGACCAATCAGGCAACTCGTTGTTGGGTTGCTGCCCCTGAATTGGTAATTTTAAGGAAATTTTGCAGTTTATGGTTATTATCTTGAATATTATTATAGATAGAGATAAACTGTAAACAGCAATAATGTTCAACAAAGTAAGATCTACAATTAAGTCAACTTGACCAAAATGGTCAGTTGACCCCTTAAGGAGTTATTGCCCTTTATAGTCAATTTTTAACCATTTTTCGTAAATTTTTGTAATCTTTTACAAAAATCTTCTCCTCTGAAACTACCAAGACAAATTTAACCAAACTTGTCCACAATCATCATTAGGGTATCTAGTTTAAAAAATGTGTCCGATGACCCCGCCCACAAACCAATATGGCCGACATGGCTAAAAAAGAGTACATAGAGTAAAATGCAGTTTTTATACGACCGCAAAAAAATTTTTGTGGTCGTATATTGGTATGACGTTGGCGTCGTCGTCGTCGTCGTTGTCGTCCGGCGTCGTCGTCCGAATACACATTAGTTTTCGCACTCTAACTTTAGTTTAAGTGAATGGATCTCATTGAAATTTTACCATAAGGTTCAATACCACAAAAGGAAGGTGGGGATTGATTTTGGGGGTTATGGTACTAACAGTTAAGGAATTAGGGGCCAAAAGGGGCCAAAAATAAGCATTTTTGTAACTTCCAGACATAACTTGTGTGTAAGTGTATGGATCTCTCTGACATTGTACCACAAGGTTCCATATCACAAAGGGAATGCTGGGATTGATTTTGGGGGTAATTGTCTCCAAATTTTAGGAATTAGGGGCCAAAAAGGGGCAAAAAACAAGCATTTTTCTAGTTTCATGACAATAACTTGTTTGTAAGTGTATGGATCTTTATGAAATTGTACTACAAGGTTCCATATCACAAAGGGAATACTGGGATTGATTTTTGGGGTAATTTCCACCAAATATTAGGAATTAGGGGCCAAAAAGGGGCAAAAAACAAGCATTTTTCTAGTTTCATGACAATAACTTGTTTGTAAGTGTATGGATCTTTATGAAATTGTACTACAAGGTTCCATATCACAAAGGGAAGGCTGGGATTGATTTATGGGGTTTTCCCTCAAAATTTTAGTAATTAGGGGCCATAAAAGGGCATAAAAAAAACATGCATTTTTCTAGTTTCAGGACAATAACTTGTGTGTAAGTGTATGGATCTTTATGAAATTGTACTGCAAGGTTCCATATCACAAAGGGAAAGCTGGAATTGAGTTTGGGGGTAATTGCCCTAAACGTTTAGGAATTTGGGGCCAAAAAGGGGCCAAAAAAACAAGCATTTTTCTAGTTTCCAGACAATAACTTGTGTTCAAGTGTATGAATCTCTCTGAAATTGTACTGCAAGGTACCATACCACAAAGGGAAAGCTGGGATTGAGTTTGGGGGCGATGAATCATAAGGGGGTTCAAAAAATTGGGGGGGGGGATTTTTTTTTTCCTTTTTTTTCTTTAACATTTTCCATTTTAAATTGGTTATTTCTGATTTATATATAAAAGCAAATAATAATGATATGGTTTGAATAGGCATACATGTGAACCTCCCGACGGGAGTACAATAATCCCGTTTTCAGGGGTCTCCTCCCCCCCTCCCGTTGAAAAAATCCCGTGTATGAAATTTTTCATGAATGAAAAATTTCTGCCCAACATAACATCTCAGGCATCTGGTGTAACTGACATTACCTGAAGTTATATTTTACCTGTAAATCAATTAACATGCATAATTATATGGCTTCACTTGTCAGCTTGGGTGTCAAACATACTGGTAAGCAACGATTTTTACCTCAGGCTAACTGCCGTTGTGTAACAAAAACTGTGTATTTATTGGGTTACTTCCCTTGATTTATCCTGTTTTAAGTTACTTTCCTTTTAATAATGAAAATTTTTAAAAGAATATAAATAAAATATAAATTGAACAAATAATCATAAAAGGATGGTTATTAAATGATTTTAAATGTCTTAGGACAAATAAAAAAATAATAATTTGAAAATTATTTGAGGATTCTATACTTCCTTTTAAGGCTTAAATTGAAATTTATATAATAACTATGACCCTAACTTTACAGATAGAATGAATTTCTGAGTTTTCAAATAAAAACTATTTGCAAGAGAAAAAAAAAAAAATAAAAACTATTTGCAGACAGCTAAACAAATGTTCTGGTTGCAATGATTGTTTTATAGAATATGAAGTAAAAAATTTAAAGAACATACTGGAAAAAAACAATGTTAGATTGAACATGTAGAATATAAAGATGGAGAAACTTTATAAGTACAAGGGTACTATAAACATAATAAATTGGTTGGAAAGTTGAAGAAAACACACTTTAAAAGACCATTTTTACAGCACACGGTTACATTTACAACAAAATTAATGTCGATTAAAAACCTCCTGATCTGAGTCCTAATCTCCTGACCAAAATTTCCCAATCTCCTGATCTGAGTTTCACAGTCCATCACATGTATGAATAGGTAAATTGAAAATTTTTAAGTTCTTAGACCACTTTCATTCTGTGTCAGAAACCTATGCTGTGTCAAATATTTAATTACAATCCAAATTCAGTGCTGTATCAAGCTTGAATGTTGTGTCCATACTTGCCCCAACTGATCAGGGTTCGACCTCTGCGGTCGTATCAAGCTGCGCCCCAGCGGAGCATTTTATTGGCTCATATATCTGAAACCAAAGCATTAAAAGCAAATCTGACAGGATAAAATTGTTCATTAGGTCAAGATCTATCTGCCCTGACATTTTCAGACCAATCAGGCAACACGTTGTTGCGTTGCTGCCCCTGAATTGGTAATTTTAAGAAAATTTTGCAGCTTTTGGTTATTATCTTGAATATGATTATAGATAGAGATAAACTGTAAACAGCAATAATGTACAGCAAAGTAAGATCTACAAATAAGTCAACATGACCAAAATTGTCAATTGACTCCTTAAGGAGTTTTTGCCCTTTATAGTCAATTTTTTACAATTTTCATAAATGTTGTAAATTTTTGTAAATTTTTACAAAATATTTTCCACTGTAACTACTGGGCCAAGTTCATTATAGATAGAGATAATTGTAAGCAGCAAGAATGTTCAGTAAAGTAAGATCTACAAACACATCACCATCACCAAAACACAATTTTGTCATGAATCCATCTGTGTCCTTTGTTTAATATGCACTGTTGTCTGCTCTATGGTCGGGTTGTCTCTTTGACACATTCCCCATTTCCATTCTCAATTTTATTTACATATACCAAGGTGAGCAACACAGGCTCTTTAGAGCCTCTAGTTTCTATGAATGGAAAACTCGTACTAAATGTTTGTAGTGTAATAACAAATTAAAATGTTTTTCTATTGACTGCTTAAATTTAGAGTAGGCAACAATATATATATATATATATATTTCATATTGTTTTCTTAATTGTGAGTTATACATATTTTTGGTTATTTACAGGTGAATTTCTCCAGAGAATGTGGTGCAAATGACATCTGTGAAAGTAACATACAATTGACAACAGATTTATTGAATCTTACTTTGTGAGTATATATTTATTCTTTCAATGCTTTATGAAAGTGATGTTTCATGCTCTAGTATATTGTTTTAGTAGAAAAATATGACATAATATTACAAGAAATTGAAATTTGTAACACAGAATGCATGAAATATTTATAAAGGAAAAAACAAAACAAGATAAAATGAAAAAATTAAGAAAAATCCTGTGAAAGTTCATTAAGGGGTAAAAAATGCATTTATGATATTCTCTGAGGGAATGACAGCTGATGGAGAAATATTGCTACCACTGTTACTAAAAATACAAAATTTTACAAAAATCCAGTACACAATTTTTTTAAGATCTGTAGAGTATCTTTAGAATTCTCGTTGATGACCCCATTAAAAAATACTAATGGCTAAGAATATATAGATCAAATGACAAAAGGTCAACAATCAGGATTTTAGGAAATCACATTGTCAGCACTCTCGAGCCCACATTTCTTATTCATATTTTTATGAAATTTATAGCAAAGGTTCATAGTAATGTCTTTGACAAGTGAAAAAAATCAGTCCAATCAACTATTTTTCCAGGAGTTGTGTTCCTTGGAAATGTTAATTTTGGAAACTGCATTGTAAGTGCTCTCATGCCTACATTTATTGTCAGATTTCTATTAAAGTGTCTGTCCAGTTTGAAAATCTGCCAAAAAATGGAATTATTGGCTTTGGACAGATAAAATATACATGTATTGTATAGCAAAATTTCTTTGAACAATGCCCCAGACAAGTAACACTCCCAAAAAAAGATCCAGGCAGAAAACTTTGTAAAAAATGGGGGGGGGGGGGGGGGGGGGGTGTGATGTGATGGGGAGTTCGGCGGCAAGTACTTGATTAGTCATTCTTCACCAAGTTGACATCCCTACTGGAAATGGAATTTCCCCCCTAATTTTTAAGCAGTTAAGCTGCTTTATGCGAGCACCCTAGATTTGTGTTCTACCCAATAAATGCTGAAATATGTGCCATTGTTATTATCTGGCTGGCTATTATGTTATTTATAACTAATTGAACACTTTTTTCATACTTTTAATTCTGGAATACAAAAAATATGACCAGAAAAACCTTAAATGATCGTCGAACCACCCAAAAGTTTTGAAGTTGCACATAGGAAGTAGTGCTCAATAGAAATCCTTATGTAGTTTATTATCCCCTGTGCTTTTGGCCAAGATGTCAAAGAACAATTGCATGAATTATTTCATCGCCGAAAATCTCTAATTACAAGTCGTTTACAGTTGCCAAATGGCACAAAGCGCAGGAATATTGTATAACGGCTGTGACTAATATGACACGGAGTTGAAGTCTCAGTTGGCGGTAATTTTAACTTCATCGACAAAACGTAAATCAAGGACGTTTTAAATTTTGTGATTTCTGATAATATTCATTTTGTTCAACCGCTAGCTTTATACCGAAAATCGCCAACATGTTATGTGTAAATCCGAGTAAATCGTATCTGACTGACAAAAACAACATTGAAAAACAATGGATGCCATAAACCGGAAATGAAGACAATTATAATACCGGATCTAATTCCGGGGGCGGATAAGGGTAATTCCGGGTTTGCCGATCAAATACAATAAAAATATAATAATTCCAGGCATGAGACAAAATACATCTATCATGATGAAATATAAACTCTAGAATTGAAAACCAAAGATATATTGAAAAGAAAGAAAAAGCAGGAAATATTTTATACAGAAACTCAAAATTACTTTTAGTTCACAAATTTTCATGTCAAAAACCAATAAAATGTGACAGTATTTTCCTTATCATTAATAAATATTGATATTACATGTAGATGTTTTTATTGTTTTAACATATTACTACAATTCCATGAGGTAATTTCTTCTCAATTTTGAAGGGCCTATACAAATCTGGAAGTTTCTTACTTTATTTTCACAGAGGAACTAGCTAATATAATATATAGTGCAACTAGATATGATACACTTAAACAGTTTTGAATTTGAACTGTTTAATATAATGGTATAATTAGTAATAAATAATCAATTGTTGAGACAACACACCCACCCACAGTGATACCCTCAGCCTCCCTCAGCCTTCCTAATACAAAAAAAAAAGATTATTTGAATTCATAAATTAATATACAAGACAATTACATTTATTATTAAACATGTTAAACGACAGTGACACTGACAATGAAACAAACTAACTTAACACCAAAAGCACATTAAATTATCTTACTGAGTTATGAACTATTTCAAGTAAAAGCAGGACCTGGAATTTAGGTTGTGGACCTTTCAGTTTGGAATGTCAAAGGTCCTGGACTGTCCAGTACCAAATGTTAATTTGAACCCCTGCATTCACAGTAAAGCGATTTTGACGTGTATTGCAATTCCAAGTAGAATTTACTTTTGGACATTAAACGTTTCGAATGCGTATTAAACTAATTCAAATCAGTTAATAATGTGAATCGAATTCGAATTATGTGTGAACGCAGCATTGATATATCTAAGAAATGAAGAATATTAAAAAGATGGACAAAATATTTGTATTAAATTTGTTGCAATTTTTGTCTTGCCTTGACAGAGTCAAAAAGTGAGACATATATATATATATAGGCATGCTGTTTTGGCGGAATCAACAATGTATTAGTTTGTGATTTTGTGATAAGGTCTGGTTTCTGGTAGGTCAATGACATTTTGTAAGTAGTTGTGTTAGCATAGGCACATCTCATTACCATAGAGAATATTTGGCCCCACCCCCTTAGTCATGGTCTATTGACTTTGAAACTTTGCATAGTTTACATGTATATGTTTGTGATTAGGTCAGTTTAGGGGGAACCACTAGTGGTAGGTCAATGATATTTGGTGTGCAGTTGTATAAACTTTTTCATTTCTAATTTCCATTGAGATTATTTGGCCCCGCCCCCTCAATCATGCTCTTTTTACTTGGAAACTTATGTTACTTTGAAATTTCATTTATTAGTTTTCGATTAGGTTAACTAGTATTAGGGAAACCAATAGTGGTAGGTCAATGATAATTGGCATGTAGGTGTAGAAGCATTAGTACGTCTCATTTCCATAGAGGATATTTGGTCCTCACCCCTCAGTCATATGCATGATCTATTGACTTTGAAACTTTTACTTAGTTTACATGAATGAGTTTGTGATTATTATGATTATGTCAGTTTAAAATTACCAGTAATCTTAAGTCAAAGCTATTTGGTATGCGAACGTATTGGTATTCAAAAGTTTCATTTCCATGGATATTATATAACCCCACCCCCTCATTATGGTTCATTGACTTAGAAATTGAATTTGTGTTAAGGTTTGTTTAAAGGGAACGACTTATGAAAAGTCAATGGTATTTGGTTTGCAGTTGAACAAGCATTGGCACCTTTCATTTCCATAGAGATTGTTTAGCCTTGTACCTTCAGTCATGGTTCATTGACTTTGAATATCACTTACATGTTAAAGTATTACTATTTTAAGTGTAACATTTGCATTATCAAAATAACAAATAGGCAAAACATTACGTTGTGTTAATAGCTTATTATAGATTAGACATGTGTAATTATTATAAAAATAAGGAGATGTGGTATGATTGCCAATGAGACAACTATCCACCAAAATTCAAATGAAGTGGATGTAAGCAATTACAGGCAACCGTACAGCCTTCAAAAATATATGTTGCATCATTGCTAGGCCATTATAACAACATCAGCATTTCTTGTAATACTAGTATACAAGAAAATTACACCATTTCAGATAGTTTCAGGTATGATTTGATAATTGTGCATAGTGGCACCAGCTGATCCAACTAAAAGCGCTAATATGGCATATTCAAACTCTAGTACATAGTGGAATTAAACCATACACCACTGTTGGACACCATAATTGAAATTATTATTCTGAAAAGAATATTCCTCCATGCAGCCTGCAACAATTAGCAAAACCTATACTGCATAGTAAGATATAAACGACCACGAAATGACAAATGTAAAACAATAAAACTAAAGCAGCCTGATTTATGTACAAAACAATTATGAAAAATAAATATGATATACAGCAACAATCAACAATCACCAAATTACTGGGTCCTCACTATGGACAGGTACATACAGAATGTGGCGGGTTAAACATGTTAGCTGGCACAGAACTCTCCCCTAACATGGACAGTGTATGTGCATAATCTCAGACATTAAATCTTTAAAAAATAAATTGGAAATAACTTTTGAAAGTGGTAGGATTGGATAGCAGAAACATTACGGTACAAACATTATTTGATACTTGAGAAATAGCTGAGATATATAGATTCTACCACTGCATCGAGTGTGATACGATATTTATCCACTCGAGACAGTTAAATTTTCAAATTTAAAACGCGAGGCTCGCCGAGCGTTTTAAATATTGAAAATTTAACTGTCGAGAGTGGATAAATATCGTATTACACGAGATTTGGTGGTGGAATCTGTTTCTCTTATGATTTTCAAACAATATGCAGGCAAACTTATTCCGTCTTTTCGAATGATCTGTAAAAAGATGTGTTCTTTCTATGTGACGTCATCAGGCATGGTCGCCTTTTTTCATGCCGTCACAATAGGAAATTCAGAGGAAAGCAAGTAAATTCGACATCATAATCGGATTTTAACCAATGAAGAACTGAGATCAAATGAACCACACCTTGATTAAATTTTTTTTATACAATGGGTGCAGAAAGGGATAAATTGACGAAGAATTAGAGAAAAATATTTTCATCCATTCTTCCACTATATTCATCTTAACTTCTGCCAAGTTTACCTTTGATTTTTTTAATTAACTGCCTATAGCGCCTTTGGTGCTTTGATTAGCTCAAGTGATCTTTTCTCATCACAAAAATTCTACTCTGAAACTTCTGGGCCAAATTTAACCAAACTTGGCCACAATCATCATTGGGGTATCTAGTTTAAATAATGTGTCCTATGACCCCGCCTGCCAATCAAGATGGCCAACATGGCTAAAAATTTTAAAAAAATAGGGGGTAAAATGCAAGTTTTGTGTATTATCTTGAAAACCGTTACAAATAGAGAAAATCTGACAGCAGCAGAAACGTTCAGAAAGTTGAGCTCTACCTATTGTCCTATACGTCAAAACTGTCAGACGACTTCCTATAGGAGTTATTGCCCTTAAATGACAAAATTTACCTTTTTTTCATTTTTGCCTATTATCTTGCAAACTATAATAGATAGAGAGAAACTTTAAATTGCAAAAATGATCAGCAAGACAAGATTTACAAATAATCATCAGTCGACTTCTTAGAGTAATTGCCCTTTGTTGACTATTTTTACGTTTTACCAATTTTTTGCATTTTTGCCTTATATCTTAAAAATTATAATAGATAGAAAGAAACTTAAATAAGCAAAAATGACCAGCAAGACAATTAAGACAATATGGAGGAAATCGTCTGACGACTCCTTATTGGAGTTATTGCCCATTTATGACGATTTTCACCATTCTTTTTGCGTTTTGCCTTATATGGTGAAAATTATGATAGATAAGTAAACACTTTAAATCACAAAAATGATCAGCAAGTCAAGATCTACTATCAAGTCAAATTATGCCGATATAGTTAGTAGACTGTCACTCTTTATAGGAGTGATTGCCCTTAAATGTGAATTTTTTTTACCCTCTTTTGTGTTTTGTGCAAAAACTTAAGAAGATAGAGAGAAACTAAACAGATTAAATGATCAGCAATACAATATCAACAAAACAGATTTTTGTCATGAATTCTATTCTCGTCTACAATGTTGGAGAGTGTCCTTTGTTGAATATTCACATAGACCAAAGTGAGTGACACAGGCTCTTTAGAGCCTCTAGAAAGAGCCTCTAGTTATAGTTAATGTACTATTAAAAAAGACAAGAAGATACTTTCTTTTTACTCCCATGATTATAGGTCATCAAGTACTCAGAGCTTCCAAAACGGTCTTATTGTCCGGACAAGTCTGGTAAATTATATAAATGACTTGTTGTGCCGAGGCTGAAACAGAGATTTTAACATAGTTCAGAAAAAAATTGAAGTTTATGCGATCTTTTGACCTGACCTTTTGTCTTAAACGGCCACACATTTCCGGTCATATAAGTGACATGATGAATAATTACTATCAAAACAAACCCTACTTTAATACCCTCTCATTACAATCAAGGTTATTTAGTTCTCTGACACTGAAATTTACCTATTGAGACGACAGGTAAACTATTTTGTACCGGACATTGATCGGTCTATTAAAAGTTATTTTCTTAAATTTCAGCGGTTTGTATCTAATTAATTTAGTCAACAAGATTTAGATTATCAGAAAATGTATATATATATATAATTTGATGATAATTTAAAAAGGTAGTAATTAAGGTTTCAATAGAAAAATCGTCAGAACCATGTTGTTGAACTAGTACACACGTGCACAGGTGTGAGATGTAGTTAATCCTCCGAATTTTCAAAAATGCTAAAAATATCATTGATACCTTTATCTAACGTTCATTACGAGTATTTTCCTGAAGAAATAACGCGGAAAGAGCTACTTTAACTCAATTGTGCTTTGTAAACGTACACGGATTCTACGTATCCGTCTCTGGTCCGTGTTTTACCATTGTCAAGTCAACATCTGGTATTAGGAATATGTACTTTTTAAAACCGAAAGTGAAGTTATTGACAGCGTAATTTTGCACAAATAAAGAGTCTAAGGCAGATATTAGTACGCTGATGTTGCACACTTCAAATGGTGCATTGTCAATTTAACAGTTAACGCCAGAACATCGAATTTATATAAAAAATCAAGTTAAATATCGTTTTTGTATCAATTATGATTTATATGATGCCCGTCCAACTGATAACTATGGTTGCCTTTTGTTTCTAAGTCTTAAGGGATTAAAATTAGGATAAGATAAAAAAAATGTCCTGCTGGCTCAAATACTTTTTGGAAACCCTGCAAGTACTGATTATTCTGCTCCCAAAACCAAACCAATTCCATATGTATTACTGCTGTGATGAACTTTGGACAACGTTTTTAAATTAAACCATTTTCTTATATAAGTACATTTTCAAAACAGACTATAGCATTTCAAAATATAAAAAATGTAGAAATATTTGTATATTAACATTGTAAGCTGTTCTTTAAATTAAAAATTTCTTGTCTATTTTTATGTTTTCTACTTTGAAAATAAAGTGAATATTTTACTTTGCAATTAAAGTGAATATTTTACTTTGCAGTTAAAGTGAATATTTTAATGTTTTAAAGTGGTAACTTCTGTCAATATTCATTGAATTAAGTAATTTCAATAGCAACACTTGGGTCAAGATCATCATGTTTGAAAACTGAATTTTTATCCAACCTTTTTTTGAAACAATACATTGATGATCATGGTAAAAAAATAAGTAGCCTAAACCACTCCTGTGCATATAATTGTATGTTGAATGACCCTAATTGCATGACATTTTACAATTTTATGTGCTGAATTCAGGGCCTTTTGTAATTGCTCTTATCACTATAATCTTAGCTTATATCTTCTTAAGTTTTCATTAGTTTTATTAATTTGTAGAAAATCAGTTTTTATCATCTTTCTGTTCTAAAATTCCAATAGAAGGCCCTAAAGCATATCAAATATTATGTGTAATTATCATTTATATAGTAATTATACCCCACACAACGACTTGCGGAGGGTATAATGTTTTTGACCCGTCCGTCCGTCTGTCCGTCCGTCAGTCCTGTTTCTTGTCATCGCAACTCCTCTCAAACCACACAACAAAATTTCACGAAACCTTTTTAGATAATAAGGACATACTATGTAGTCGGCATATCGACAGGAAATTACGATTCAATTCTTTTTTTAGGAGTTATTCTCCTTTGAACTTATTTACTTTAATGTACTACTGCAACAGTTTGTCATCGCAACTCCTCTCAAACCACACAACAGAATTTCATGAAACCTTTTCAGATAATAAGGACATACTACATAGATGTGCATATCGACAGGAAATTACGATTCAATTTTTTTTCCAGGAGTTACGCCCCTTTGAACTTATTTGCCTAATATACTACTGCAACTTTTTGTCATCGCAACTCCTCTCAAACCACACAACAGAATTTCATGAAACCTTTTCAGATAATAAGGACATACTACTTAGATGTGCATATCGACAGGAAATTACGATTCAATTTTTTTTCCAGGAGTTATGCTCCTTTGAACTTATTTGCCCAATATACTACTGCAACCTTTTGTCATCGCAACTCCTCTCAAACCACACAACAGAATTTCATGAAACTGTGTAGATAATAAGGACATACTACGTAGATGTGCATATTGACAGGAAATTATGATTCAATTTTTTTTTCTGATACAATTTTTTTTTCTTACACTTATTTTATTTCTCCAATGACAATGTGGGGACGTGGGGTATGTGAACGTGCTCACTAAGGTTCTTTCATTAATTTTGTATTATAGATATAAAACCTGGCCATTTTAGGCTTTGACTCTTTTTCAGAAATTAGTAGTCCTACATTTAAAAAGGATGCATTTAAGAAACTTTTTTATAACAACCTCTCACGAAAAGTCTGTTACTCTCACCTATAGTTGAAGGTTCATTAATTCTTTTTAGTTGAATGTCAACTTCATTTCTCAGATACATGGTGACCTTTTTTTGGTCTTTTTTCTTACACTTTTTAATCTGCGTCGCCAAAGGAGAAAGCAGGTTTAGTCACCGCTTGACTCCTTCTGTCTGTGTGGCCAAAAGACAATGGGTAGTTAAAGTTTTCTTGGCTTCTATGAAAGAGAATTATTTAATATTTGATCTGCAGCTTGATAATGAAGCTAGTTCCTGTTTGCCGATATTTTGAAATTTTACTGCACTCATTGTACAAAGAAAATTTTCGTCACATTTTTGGTGGTAAAAGGACTGTTAATTCAATTCAGATGACCCTATATACTTTTAACATGTCCTGTGGCACATCAGGCAATGATTATTGTATGAAGTCATCTTGGTTTTAACTGTCCATATATCATGGTAAATTAAATACCACTTTCCAAAAAACTTTATTGTATATTTCAGACAACAACCCAACAATTTAATTGATGTGGAAGGATTTTAAACTTTATGTTTTCTATGTTTGTTTTTCAGACCAAGAGATACAATGTTATTGTTGTGGAAACATTTTAAACCTTATGTTTTCTATGTTTGTTTTTCAGACCAAGAGATACAATGTTATTGATGTGGAAGGATTTTAAACCTTATGTTTTCTATGTTTGTTTTTCAGACCAAGAGATACAATGTTATTGATGTGGAAGGATTTTAAACCTTATGTTTTCTATGTTTGTTTTTCAGACCAAGAGATACAATGTTATTGATGTGGAAGGATTTTAATCCTTATGTTTTCTATGTTTGTTTTTCAGACCAAGAGATACAATGTTATTGATGTGGAAGGATTTTAAACCTTATGTTTTCTATGTTTGTTTTTCAGACCAAGAGATACAATGTTATTGATGTGGAAGGATTTTAAACTTTATGTTTTCTATGTTTGTTTTTCAGACCAAGAGATACAATGTTATTGTTGTGGAAACATTTTAAACCTTATGTTTTCTATGTTTGTTTTTCAGACCAAGAGATACAATGTTATTGATGTGGAAGGATTTTAAACCTTATGTTTTCTATGTTTGTTTTTCAGACCAAGAGATACAATGTTATTGATGTGGAAGGATTTTAAACCTTATGTTTTCTATGTTTGTTTTTCAGACCAAGAGATACAATGTTATTGATGTGGAAGGATTTTAAACCTTATGTTTTCTATGTTTGTTTTTCAGACCAAGAGATAATGATGGAACTGTAGTGTTGAGTTATGGAGAAGACAAAGTAGTGATTGTTGATGTGAAATTAGACAACAGGGGAGAACCTGCTTATGAAACCAATTTATATGTTACAGTACCTGAGTCATTTGAATGGAACCGACTTGATGTCATTAATCCTGTTAGTTTAACAGTATTATCTTATCTACAATTGCTTTATGGTTCCTTTCCCCCAAACATTCCCATCACCATTTATATGACCTTTCTGATATCTAACCATAAGTATAGCAACACTATAAATGGTAAGGAGATGTGGAATGATTAACAATGAAAGAACTATCCACCAACCAAAGATAAAATTTCAAGGATGTGAACAACGCTACCAATAGGCCATTTGAGTTTTGACCCATTTTTATACGCCCGTTTACGGGACGTATTATGGTATACCGTTGTACGTCCGTCCGTCGTCAACATGTCGGACATTAACTCAAAAACGCTTTAACCAATTTGCATAAAACTTTGGTGAATTGTTTATATCTATTGACGTGAGCTCCCTTTCGTTTTTTATAAATTTTAGATTTTACGTTTCCGAGTTATGGGGTTTTATTCATTAAAAAAAGGGGGATTTTCCAGTTTTCGGACAATAACTCAAGAATGCTTTCACCAACTTGCAAGAAATTTTGGTTGATTGTTTATATCTATTGACATGAGCTCCCTTTGGATTTTTATAAATTTTAGATTTCATGTTTCCGAGTTATGGGGTTTTATTCATAAAAAAAGGGGGATTTTCCAGTTTTCTGACAATAACTCAAAAATGCTTTCAGCAGTTCTCATGAAACTTTGGTGAATTGTTGATATCTATTGATGTAAGCTCCCTTTAGAATTTTATAAATTTTAGATTTTACATTTCCGAATTATGGGGTTTATTCATTAAAAAAGGGGGGATTTTCCATTTTTCAGACAATAACTCAAAAATGCTTTCAGCAATTCGTATGAAACTTTGGTGAACTGTTTATATCTATTGATGTAATTTAGAATTTTATAAATTTTATTTGTTTATAGTCTGACAACAGATTTACTAATTATTGCGCAACAGCACAGTGTATTGCACAACAGCAAGAAATCTTTAATTAAGTCTCCCAAACGAAGTTTGGGAAGACTTATTGTTTTTGCTCAGTTATTATTATTATTCTTCTTCTTCTTCTTCTTCTTCTTCCTCTTCCGCCGCTTTTAAATTTGAACTTGTCCGCACCCGTTCTCCAAAACCGCTTGTCAGATTAACTTAGGGTTTCACAATATGTTAGACTAACATGTCTAGTGGTGCAATCAGGGTTTTGTTTGTGCAATGGGGTTTATAAAGGGGTACTTTGAGGGGCAAAAAGAAAAGAGCGTTTTACTATAGAACCCTAGGGGATTTTATTTTTTTAAATTTTCAAATGATTATAAATTGAAAACCGTTTGTGATAGACACAATCTTTTTAATTGAAAATGTTCTAAATGATAAAACCCATTAAATGAACTACAGGGTTAGTCCCCAGGGGGTCACCCCCACCCCCTGCCATTTAAGAAAGTTCTAATACCTTGTAAGTGGTCAAGATCCCCACCCCTAAACCATATATATTCTGGTTTGTCATGCTAAGATGGTTTGAATGATATACAGGGTTAGTCCCCAGGGGTCATCCCGACCCCCTGCCATTTGAGAAAGTTCTAATATCTTGTAAATGGTCGAGATCCCCACCCCTAAACCATATATATTCTGGTTTGTCATGCTAAGATGGTTTGAATGATATACAGGGTTAGTCCCCAGGGGTCATCCCCACCCCCTGCCATTTGAGAAAGTTCTAATATCTTGTAAATGGTCGAGATCCCCACCCCTAAACCATATATATTCTGGTTTGTCATGCTAAGATTGTTTGAATGATATACAGGGTTAGTCCCCAGGGGTCATCCCGACCCCCTGCCATTTGAGAAAGTTCTAATATCTTGAAAGTGGTCGAGATCCCCACCCCTTAACCATATATATTCTGGTTTGTCATGCTAAGATGGTTTGAATGATATACAGGGTTAGTCCCCAGAGGTCATCCCGACCCCCTGCCGTTTGAGAAAGTTCTTATATCTTGTAAATGGTCAAGATCCCCACCCCTAAACCATATATATTCTGGTTTGTCATGCTAAGATGGTTTGAATGATATACAGGGTTAGTCCCCAGGGGTCATCCCGACCCCCTGCCATTTGAGAAAGTTCTAATATCTTGTAAATGGTCAAGATCCCCACCCCTAAACCATATATATTCTGGTTTGTCATGATAAAGCAAATCAAATGAAATACAGGGTTAGTCCCCAGGGGTCACCCCCACCCTATGCCATTTAAGAAAGTTCTAATATCTTGTAAGTGGTCAAGATCCCCACCCCTAAACCATATATATTCTGGTTTGTCATGCTAAGATGGTTTGAATGATATACAGGGTTAGTCCCCAGGGGTCATCCCGACCCCCTGCCATTTGAGAAAGTTCTAATATCTTGTAAATGGTCGAGATCCCCACCCCTAAACCATATATATTCTGGTTTGTCATGATAAAGCACATGAAATGAAATACAGGGTTAGTCCCCAGGGGTCACCCCCATCCCATGCCATTTAAGAAAGTTCTAATATCTTGTAAGTGGTCAAGATCCCCACCCCTAAACCATATATATTCTGGTTTGTCATGCTAAGATGGTTTGAATGATATACAGGGTTAGTCCCCAGGGGTCATCCCGACCCCCTGCCATTTGAGAAAGTTCTAATATCTTGTAAATGGTCGGGATCTAAACCATATATATTCTGGTTTGTCAAACCAAGATGATTTGAATGATATACAGGGTTAGTCCCCAGGCATCACTAATGCATATACATTGTAACTTTACTGGACCAAACCAATTTTCACTGGACTTTGCCCAATGTCAGGCGACCCTGGGAATTACGAATTATGGGAGCTTCGTTTGGGAGACTTCGTAACAGCATCCTGTTACAATCATTTCTTGTTGAATATAAATTCAATTCATATAACCAACTTCAAGTTCTTTGACTACATTTATTCAGAAACCTATAATGCATGTATGTCAAATATATAATTACAATCCAATTTCAGACCTGTATCAAGCTTGAATATTGTGTCCATTTTTGCCCCAACTGTTCAGGGTTAGACCTCTGCGGGCGTATCCAGCTGCGCTCAGCGAAGCAGTTTATTAATGAATTTAATAACACTATAAATATGCAAACAGTGAAATATTTCAGGATATTATTTGATGAATTTAAAGGACTATTTTTTCTCCTCTTTTTAGCCTAACCATGTTCCAGTAAGAACAAACCCGACTACAACAATAGTAGAGTTATCTGATATAGGTAATCCATTTGGTAACCAGGCTAAAACAACCAACTTGAGACATTATCGACTAAGATTTAATCCATTGGAAGGAATAGAAAAGAAATTTAAAATTATTGTTCATGTTAACACGTAAGTATTGGAAAGACTTTCTTTTCTGGAAAAAAAAACCCCCAAAAAACTTTAAACTGTGTTTTTTGTAGAACATAATAAGGCTATGTTTTAACTAGAATATTATAGCTTTACCAAATGTTTGAATTCTTTAATACAGACTTCTGAAATAAGTTCCATTAATATACACCTGTTAACCATGTGACCCAAAGGAGCTTAACACTAGTGTGAGCTCATGCCATTCTTTATTTATCATCATTTGTCTCCTTAGTTTTTTCAACAAATCTCTTTCACTGAAAAAACTATACTATTATATGCCAAACTTGACAATAGTCATCTACTGTGAGTCCAACAATTACTGAAAAGTTTTTATACGACCGCAAAATATTTTTGTGGTCGTATATTGGTATGACGTTGGCGTCGTCGTCCGAAGACACATTGGTTTTCGCACTCTAACTTTAGTTTAAGTGAATAGATCTCTATGAAATTTTACCATAGGGTTCAATACCACAAAAGGAAGGTTGGGATTGATTTTGGGGGTTATGGTACCAACAGTTAAGGAATTAGGGGCCAAAAAGGGGCCAAAAATAAGCATTTTTGTAACTTCCAGACATAACTTGTGTGTTAGTGTATGGATCTCTCTGACATTGTACCACAAGGTTCCATATCACACAGGGAATGTTGGGATTGATTTTGGGGGTAATTGCCTCAAAATATTAGGAATTAGGGGCCAAAAAAGGGGCAAAAAACATGCATTTTTCTAGTTTCATGACAATAACTTGTGTGTAAGTGTATGGATCTTTCTGAAATTGTACTTCAAGGTTCCATGTCACAAAAGGAAAGCTTGAATTGAGTTTGGGGGTAATTGCCCAAAACGTTTAGGAAAAAGGGGCCAAAAATAAGCATTTTTCTAGTTTCCAGACAATAACTTGTGTTCAAGTGTATGGATCTCTCTGAAATTGTACCACAAGGTTCCATATCACACAAAGAATGCTGGGATTGATTTTGGGGGTAATTGCCTCAAAATATTAGGAATTAGGGGCCAAAAAAGGGGCAAAAAACAAGCATTTTTCTAGTTTCATGACAATAACCTGTGTGTTAGTGTATGGATCTCTCTGACATTGTACCACAAGGTTCCATATCACAAAGGGAATGCTGGGATTGATTTTGGGGGTAATTGCCTCCAAATTTTAGGAATTAGGGGCCAAAAAGGGGCAAAAAACATGCATTTTTCTAGTTTCATGACAATAACTTGTGTGTAAGTGTATGGATCTTTCTGAAATTGTACTTCAAGGTTCCATGTCACAAAGGGAAAGCTTGAATTGAGTTTGGGGGTAATTGCCCAAAACGTTTAGGAATTAGGGGCCAAAAAGGGGCCAAAAATAAGCATTTTTCTAGTTTCCAGACAATAACTTGTGTTTAAGTGTATGGATCTCTCTGAAATTGTACCACAAGGTTCCATATCTTACAGGGAATGCTGGGATTGATTTTGGGGGTAATTGCCTCAAAATATTAGGAATTGGGGGCCAAAAAAGGGGCAAAAAACAAGCATTTTTCTAGTTTCATGACAATAACTTGTGTGTAAGTGTATGGATCTTTCTGAAATTGTACTTCAAGGTTCCATGTCACAAAGGGAAAGCTTGAATTGAGTTTGGGGGTACTTGCCAAAAACGTTAAGGAAAAAGGGGCCAAAAATAAGCATTATTTTTGGTTTCCATCAATAACTTGTGTTCAAGTGTATGGATCTCTCTGAAATTGTACCACAAGGTTCCATATCACACAGGGAATGCTGGGATTGATTTTGGGGGTAATTGCCTCCAAATTTTAGGAATTAGGGGCCAAAAAAGGGGCAAAAAACAAGCATTTTTCTAGTTTCATGACAATAACTTGTGTGTAAGTGTATGGATCTTTCTGAAATTGTACTACAAGGTTCCATGTCACAAAGGGAAAGCTTGAATTGAGTTTGGGGGTAATTGCCCAAAACATTTAGGAAAAAGGGGCCAAAAATAAGCATTTTTCTAGTTTCCAGACAATAACTTGTGTTTAAGTGTATGGATCTCTCTGAAATTGTACCACAAGGTTCCATATCTTACAGGGAATGCTGGGATTGATTTTGGGGGTAATTGCCTCAAAATATTAGGAATTAGGGGCCAAAAAAGGGGCAAAAAACAAGCATTTTTCTAGTTTCATGACAATAACTTGTGTGTAAGTGTATGGATCTTTATGAAATTGTACTACAAGGTTCCATATCACAAAGGGAAAGCTAGGTTTGAGTTTGGGGGTAATTGCCTTAAATGTTTAGGAATTTGGGGCCAAAAAGGGTCCAAAAAACAAGCATTTTTCCAGTTTCCAGACAATAACTTGTGTTCAAGTGTATGGATCTCTCTGAAATTGTATTGCAGGTACCATACCACAAAGGGAAGGCTGGGATGGAGTTTGGGGGTGATGAATCATAAGGGGGTTCAAAAAATTTTGGGGGGGGAGAGGTTTTCTTTGAAATTTTCCATTTGAAATTGGTTATTTCTGATTTATATATAAAAGCAAATAATAATGATATGGTTTGAATAGGTAAATTAAAAATTTTTAAGTTCTTAGACCAAATTCATTCTGTGTCAGAAACCTGTGCTGTGTCAAATATTTAATCACAATCCAAATTCAGTGCTGTATCAAGCTTGAATGTTGTGTCCATACTTGCCCCAACTGTTCAGGGTTCGACCTCTGCGGTTGTATCAAGCTGTGCCCAGCGGAGCATTTTTTTTTTTTTTTGTGGAATATCTGTTTCAACAACAAACTGGTATAAATTTTTTTAATGTACCTGAAAAAGCCAAAATAATTATGCATTCACTATGAAATCATCCAACTCGGCAATTATTCTGAAACACAAATTATATACTAATATTATGATGTTTATTGTTTGTTTGTCGGTCAGTCTACAGTGCTTGATAATTAATTAGGGTTATTCCCCAATTTCATGAGTATGCTTTCTTTGCATCTTTAGGGTTGTATCCTAAAACTTTAAAAAGTTGTAGATTCTGAGTTAATTTGCTATGAAGGGCATTTCGATGTGATTGTGAAGCCATGATGTTGCATGTTTGTTTTGTCATGTGAGAAATTGGGGAAATTTTAGGTATCAATTTCAGCCCTCGATAATGATGTTAAATACATTTAACCTGTAATGAGCACATTTAAAGTAGATTGTTTGAATTGAAGACTTTTCTGATCATTTTAATAATATTTTTTTACATTAATAAAAATTTATGAAGACGATGGTCTTCATTTGTGGTCACTATGACAACATAATTATTTTAATAAATGTGACTAGCATGAAAATTCATTACAATAAAAAAAATACGTTTAAATTAAGCTTATTAACTTTATTACCATGGCATTAAGCTGTCATAATGGAGTAATGCAGCAGTTAAAGTCTTTCTTTGTTCCATTCCAATAAGGGATGCACTATAAAGCAACTTTAAATAATATAAGAATAAACTTGACAGTGCAAACGGTTGGCAGAGACAAATGTTCCATGGAAAATTTGTTTTGCTTAGACCTTCATTTAATGCACAAACCATTTTTGCTGTTTTATGTTAAGGCTAAGAAGTCATTAAGGAATTATGAAATTGGTGGGCACATCTTGGAAAGTAAGAAAGTTAATAACAAGGACCTATTTTTTATGCAAGAATGATTCTAGTTATTATATGTTATAGTCCATATCCAATAAAGATATGAAGCAACTAAAAGAGACCACAGTTTTATTTAGATTTGTCATATGTCTGACAAGATTCACCTAACATTGGCCTCATTTTTTAGCTTCATTTATCAATATTTAGTTTTCATGAAAGATGTAATAACTTTGATGCTAGTTTTTATCGGTGGGGAAAACAAGAGTACCCAGAGAGAACCTCAACCTTTAGCATGAAAACGTGCAATCGTCAGTTATGATAAGACTCAAACACACCTAGCCATGAACAGGGTTTGAACTCAAAACCTCAGAGTTGACAGGCTAATGATCACTGTATGTGAACTTACATAGACACTCTGCCACCGAAGCCCTCTTAAACACAGTTTGATAAGCAATGATGTAGATCATTTCATATGATGTTCAGTTTGTGCTGAATATATATTGAACTGTTTATTTTTAAGAACAAGTGTAGAACAGACTGTTGCTGGAGATCGTCAAGAATTTAATGTTAGAGTAATTAATAGGGCAGAGGTAGAATTACAGAGGTAAGTTCATGATTCATTTTTTAGTTGACTGCTTATTATGTGTCAAACCTGTCTATTATTCTTCTAACCTGTCCTAAGCTGTGACACCTCTTTTACTTAAAACTTGATCAAATGTTCAAATAATATTTGTTTCTTGTTATGAATATGGATTAATCACTTATGTTGCTACAGATTTTTCCTTTGTTTCTGCTAAATATATTTGTTTGCAGAAAAATATATATTTATGTATGAAGCCATTCAAAAATAGATAATGGGGTTTTCAAATAATGCCTTTTCAACAACTTCTTCCTTATACTTGTGATATACAGTAGACTCCATCTAATTGGATATTGGCTAAACAAATATATCGGCTATTGTAATATTATTTCAAAACACCAAACCCTTTCCTATATGTTCAATGTAAGTATTATCATGTATACTGAGATCAGATATAAGAATATATCTGCAAATCTGATAGGAATATTTGAGAAATCTTTGTCAAAACTATGCACATTTGGATATTTGTAATGTTTTTTCTGAACAGGAAATGATGTCATATGAAAAAGGGCCAATTTCTGAATAGATTGCTGTCTTTATTCATTGTCATCCTTTGTAATGTGTATTTGATGCCCTTACAGTTTCAATGATTCAAATTTATTTTATACTATACCATACTGTTATTTAATTATTAATTTGAATCAGTGTTATTGCGAGTTTTTATTTTTTTGCTAGTTCTGCTGCACCTGATGGTGATGTGTTTTACAGAGGACCAGTACGTGGTGTCAGCTCTATGAAAACAGAATCTGATATTGGACCTGCTATAAATCATACATTTACAGTGAGTGAAAAACAATCAATAATGAGAACTTGGTTATCATGCACTTGATCAAATATCAGATGCTCCTTTGTCTTATAACTACCATCCCATTGACACGACTCTTGTTTCAATTTAAAGGCCAGCATGTGTGATTGTTATCAATCCATCAGCGTTTTTTATTTTCCTTATCTCATCTGAAATACCTGCCAAATGAATCAAACTTGGCAATGATAATGGTCCTATATAAGATTTCTATTAACTATAAAACCACCTATGGGTTGGATTCGAGAAATGACATTGTCAACTTGTACACTGAAACAGCTTGGACAAATTAAACAAAACATTAATCTTCCTTACTGATTTAGTTTGTATTTGAAAAAAAAAATGATGGCCATACATTTCTTGATTCTGATTAGTCACATGTTTCTTGTATAGAATTTACAGTATTCAGATCTTTTTACAATGTTGGTGAACTACATCTATTTCCAATTTTTTATACACCCATATACGGGACGTATTATGGTATACCGTTGTCCGTCTGTCTGACCATCGTCAACATGTCGGACAATAACTCAAAAATGCTTTGAGCAGTTTTCTTGAAACTTTAGTGAATTGTTTATATTTATTGAGGTAAGCTCTCTTTCGATTTTTATAAATTTTAGGTTTTACGTTTCCTAGTTATGAGATTTTATTCATAAAAAAGGGGGGATTTTCCATTTTTCGGACAATAACTCAAAAGTGCTTTGACCAGTTGTCATGAAACTTTGGTGACTGGTTTATATCTATAAAAAACCTTTTTATGAATTTCTGATATGACATTGAGGAGTTATGGAACTTTATTCTTTGAAAAAGCGATGGGCGTATCATGTGCTCATGGCGCAGCTCTTTATTTTTTAATGAAATATATGGTTAGGAAAATTTTCTGCAACCCATCTTTTTTTAGCATCTATTGTAACTGATTTACTGTATTTATAGAAATATATCATTCTCAATCAAGCCTCTCACTTGTCATGACTTAATACTGTTGACTTATTCTTATATATATTTCTTTGGTGTAATTTTAGGTTGTAAATCATGGTCCAGGTACAATTGATGGAGCTACACTTAGGATATACTGGCCATTTGAACTGAAGACTGATTATCCAGAGGGAAAACAATTGTTATATCTAATGCAAGAGCCTGTGGTTAGTCAATTTACAGGTTTAAATAGATTTATAGACTAGTGAAATAATATAAGCTCAAAAGGTAGTTGAACAAGAAATGGATGCAATGATGAAAATTTATGAAATAATACAAAATACTATTAAAATGCAGATATTTTGCCTAGAATAAGGCTTCTTTAAGTTGAATAGATAAGTAGATGTCTTACATGTCAAAGGTTGAAGTGTTTTAATGAAGTATTTCACTAGTGTCTCCTAGATTGTTTACTGAGGTTTCATTTATTTTTTCATCAGTCCCAATTTTCATGTGTTTTGGAAAAATTTATTTCTGTGGACACTTGTTGATTTTGTGCTTTTAACAAATTTTGCATAATAGCTTATAGGTAATCTGTATTTTGTTGAAACCTTAAATTGACAGCTCACCTCTACCTGGAAAATACATGATGATTAGTACTCCCAACTGATTATCGTTTATCCACAGTATACAAGTTCTGACAATTTAATTGCAAGTCTATAATATAAAGTCAAATTTTTAAGAATTTGTTGGATATGAATCAGGTATTTTGTTTCTTACATCATTTATTAGATAGTCTTGAAATTTTCTCAGTTAAGATTTAAATCAGTACTTAATGTATGGTAGAGTAACACCAACGTAACTAGAATTAGGTATGAAGTTAAGACATTGCAATAATGCATTCCATTAGATTGGCTTTGTCATTAAATCTGATGCATGTCTTTTATCATTGCCTTTTTATGGTCAAAATATAACATCCTTAGCAAAGTTTTAACAAAAAGATAAAAATGATATGCAGTTTTCTATATTTCTATGTATATATATGTTATATTTATGATAGCAGATACATTTTTTTGTACCCTGATTTTATGGTACTGAAACTTCACCATTAAATCGACATAGAACCTCACAAAACTTAGAAAGTAGCTCATTTATAGTCAAAAAGATTAAATTTCAAGCAAAATGCATATACATTTAGTTCATTCTTGATTTTTTTAAAGATTTATTAATGAATATTATATAGCTGATGATACGGTATGGGTTTTTTCTCATTGTTGAAGACTGTACAATTGCCTATAATTGCTTACATACACTTCATTTGAACTTTGGTGGATAGTTGTCTCATTGGCATTCATACCACATCTCCTTATTTTAACACCCCACCTACGATAGTAGAGGGGCATTATTTTTTTTTAATCTGTATGTTCGTCTGTCAGTCCCGCTTCAGGTTAAAGTTTTTGGTCAAGGTAGTTTTTGATGAAGTTGAAGGTTCACATATTCCATTATTTACCACTTGTCGCCAATAAGGAACAATTAAACATTGGAGGTATAGTACTTATTATTAAAGTAATCATATGGAAATTCTGATTGTAGTATATGTAAATTATTATTTTTTATCAATGCAGCAAAAAAGAGGGACTTTTATGGTAAAAAAGATTGCAATCATTTGAAAAGTGTTTAAAGTATTTAGTTAATTTCAGGTAATTGGAGGCCCAGCTGAGTGCCCAAGTTATTCAGAATTTGTTAACTCATTAGATATAAAGGTAAGTGATACACTAAAATTGGTGAATTTTTTAAATACAAAAAAACTAAATAAGGATATGTACACAAATTGATAGAAAAAAGTTAAATTTTTATCTAATTTACATTACTTTATTATGAAATGTAATTAATGAGTAAAACACATTACTGTGTATTTTTTAATGCAATTAGGGTCTGAAGTTGTCGAGAGGCAAACATTATATTTTACAGGCTTTAACATGCAGCACAATATTTCAGTCATTGGCTTTCACAAATAGCACTGGTTTTATGTTGCAGCTCAGCTTTTCAGGGAACCTTCTGCAGAAGATTTGAAATATGGATGGATAGAAATGCTTAGATTTATTTTTTTTGTATTTTTTTTTTTTTAATAAGGTTTGAAATTAAAGTATTTTAAAGTCACAACTGATTGAACAAAAGTTTGAGATCTTAAAAAATATTAGTCAAAATGTGCATTAATGCATGAAGCAGCTAGATTTTGTGATGAAAATAATGCATGTACAAAATGCTGGCATGCATGGCATAATTGTGTGATCTCAAATATATGAAATGTTTATATCTTCGAGTAAAGGTCAGAATTTTCTGCTGAATTCTTTGACAAAGCTTGCATAGTCAGTCACATCAGTATTAACAAATGTAATATCCAATTATAATCATTTACAAGCCAAGTGTGTACATTTCCATTAGTTAATGCTTCAGCAAATCACATTTAAACAGTTGTTTCACCACTAAACAAATGTAATACACAATGTACTATATTGAATGATCAGCTTCTCAAACAAGTTTTCATATGAGTGATATGTTTATGTTTATTTTTATTTTTTTATTCATTTTAACCATTATCAAAATAGAAATGAAAATTGCTGTGGAAGATTCATGCAAATATATTTTAATGAATGGAGAAGCTGAATTATTGTGATTTAAATGTATAATATACATGTTTTTTGCATTTTCACTGTCTATTCTGTATGGTTGTCCTGAGGGATCATTTGAAATTTACTATTTAAGATTCAATTTTATAATTCAATAACTAGTAATGAAATTGAATATCCACTATAGCAAATCAGAAGAAATCTTTTATGTTATGTTCAAATGTTTAAACCATTGGTTTGTCTAACAAATGAAAGAAAGTTTAATGTTCCCAAAACTTAACTTGAGATCAATTGGTAGGTTAATCATTGGAGGTAATAATTTCAATAATAGAAGATGATTCTAGTCTTCTTGTCATTGAATTTTACAAAATGATCACCACAAATTACTTTGACCAACCAATGGATCTGCCACTCAAGAAAAAAAAATGATAGATTACTCGAGCTATTAAAGGTTTAAATAAATTTCTAGCCAAGTTCATCAGAATGAAAATATAGAGCTAAAAATAAAAAATCCAATCAAAAATCGATAAACAATTAGTTTATCCAGTTCACCTACTTATTAGGCAAATCATTTACAATTATTCTTTTTTAAGAATTCAGACTCACCCAAGGAACACATAAGTGCTTTTCCTGTATGATACTAATGATTGAGGAAATAGAAAATAGGATTTTAATACATGTATATATATGTTTTTGTCATTCAACTTTAAATGTATTTATACACCCTTTGGCTCTCAGTGTTACAGGTGAAGGTTAATTCAGAAAAGCACTTTGTATAGTGCAAATGCATACTTTTGAAATGTTTATTTTCTTTGATAGTGTTTAATTGAATCGAATATGTCACTGGCTGAAATATTTTAGTGACTAAAAGCTGTCTTCTGATTTGCCCTTGAAATGTTGAATTTTTAAGTTTAAGTGTTGCATGCCTATATTTTTATATAAAAGATAGTTTTCCACATTTCCTTATTAAAATGTTTTGGACAAATTTCAAATTTTGAATGATCTTTACAGATTTTATAAATCTGGTACCATACAACTGTATCACATATTTAGTTGAGATCAAATCAAGAAATAGAAACATTTAATGTAAGAACACTACTGTATGGAAAAACTGAGTGTTTTTGTTTTTGTTTTTTTTAACAAATATGCTGCGAGATCAGTTTGCAATGGCTCTTGTATATTCAGCAAAAATATTTTTGAAATTGTAAAGTCCTATGACACATAATGACAAAACTTGCACTAGTAATCATAACTTGAAATTATTTCCTGAACACTTTTCTTTAGTAACAACATTTTTAATTGATGGGTTGATCTTTACTGAATATGTACTATTACTTTTCATTAAGACAACAATAACTTTGACCTGATTGAAAATAACAATGCCTACATATAATACAAATTAAGCATATATATCAGAGGTTTCAGAAATAAAATAATTTGTTTCATTCAAATGGTAGATTAGTACTAAATAAATGATATATTGTACCAGAAATTATCAACATATCATTTAGTTACTTTATTATTTTGATCCAATTATGACCTAAAGAAATGACAAATGAAATAGATGTCTTTTTATTTCTGAAATTCTTGACATTGAGGCCTTTTCAGATAATTTATCTTCATGAAAATCATTGTTTTATTTATGTTTAACAAAACATATAGTTGAAATCAAAAGTGTGCATGTTTTGGATCATTTGTTACTTCATTCCTGGTAAGGCCTCAGACTCTGGTGGATTCTTGTTGTATATATCATAATATGACTAATGCTGGCTTTGTTTTCTTGCTTTACATAGGAGAACCCAAATCTGTTTATACGACCTAAGAATGTAAGTTTTATTTCAAACTTTTTGCATATATTGCAAAATTTTATAGCATAACACCAGTATAAGAGAGAGAAAAAAATCAGAAATGTTTAATTTATTCCATTTTTTCAAAATTTTAAAAGTTGTACTTGCATATCAAATAAGATATTTCCATGTGGTTTATGAAATATCTAAGCAAAGGTTTAAAGAATTTTTAATTTATAAAACTTCCACAATTTTGGTTAGCAAAATAAAGATTACTAATTGAAGGTATTTTTTTCTTATGATTAACTTCAAGGTTTATTTGGAGAACAAAATTGAACAGAATAACCCACAAGAATAAGTTTTTGTAATAAAACTTAGTTTTTAGCTAGTCATACTGTTGAAAGTAGATAGTTTTCTCAATTCTGTTAAGGCCCATTTGTTTTATAAGCTTTTGAATGTTTTGTGTTATGGCTTACAAAACTTATGATCTCAAACATACCTGATGGAAGTTAATATTTTAGAAACCTGTTACTTTGTGCATTACATTTACATTACCATTTTAGTCAATTAAATATTTTATCACTTAAAATTCTACATATTGTATTGCTTATGACTTATATCTGTTTGAAGTTAAAGGTAGTAAATAGTGTATGTTATTAGTTAGCCCTTTATTTAAAAGTGTCATATATGGATATAAAATATGTAGACACCAAGTTGTTTTCCTTTAAGTTTGTTCATTTCTTTAACCTGATGTAAAATGATTGGATTTACCGGCCAGCATCCTGCTAAAATGAATTGAAGGTTCTAAAATGATTGGATTTACCGGCCAGCATCCTGCTAAAATGAATTGAAGGTTCTAAAATGATTGGATTTACCGGCCAGCATCCTGCTAAAATGAATTGAAGGTTCTAAAATGATTGGATTTACCGGCCAGCATCTTACTAAAATAGAATTGAAGGTTCTAAAATGATTGGATTTACCGGCCAGCATCCTACTAAAATGAATTGAAGGTTCTAAAATGATTAAATTTACCGGCCAGCATCCTAATAAAATGGAATTGAAGGTTCTAAAATAATTTTAATTTTTTGGTAAGGAATGTCTATGGTCCAAAGTTTCATTTGATTATAGATGGAGATAGAGTCAATATGCCCAAAGGGAGATAACCTAATGTAAATCTATGTTATTTTTAGGCAATAACCAATGTGGGCCCACAAACTCAAGGAACAGGACCACAGTACAAAGTCATTGATTCAAGTAGAAAGAAGAGAGAAACGAAAACTTCCACCAACAAACCACCAAAGATTAGAAAGCAAGAGATTGTATCTAAAAATGTCGTTAAATTGGTAAATACTAGAATAGTGAATGTTGTATTTATGGATGCTTGAAAAATTTTCAGTGGCAATTTGAATCAGAACAATTATGCAAAGCAATGCTGCTGATAATATATATTTGTGGAAATATTATAATTTAGTACACAGCTATTAGAAATACAGATTGCTATAATGCATTACATGTTTTAGCTGGGACTATTATACTAGTCCCAGGTTTTAGCCATTGATTCAGGTTGCTGATAGTAACAATTTTAAATGTTAATACTTAGATGGTGTATTGGAGAATAAAAAATACCTTAGGCTAGTTCATTTACCATTTGGAATGAATAAGGCCATGGTATCACTATATATATATATAGTGATACATATGCTTTTTTTATCCAACGCAATCATAGGTTTGAACGTTGTTTTCAATTTAGATTTGTTTATATTTTTTCGTTAGGGCTTGTATTATATTTGCCTTCGGGTTTATATGATCCGTTCATCCTATTTCGACTCTTCAAAATTCAAGAGTCTATCCTAAATTGAGGTAAATTATATGGCCTTCCAAATACCGTTTCGATTCCTAACGTCACTGAAGAGACATTAATTGTCGAAATCAGGATATGATGTACTAATTTTAATAAATCTAGTTACCAATATATTTGCTAACATTCACTAAAATAATCATTTAAAGTTAGAATGTATGATACATCAGTTTCAATTGGTTGCATACATATAATCAATAATACATCAGCTTACAAAACAAAAATCAAGTTTTACATGCCAGGTGAGATGTTTGTAAACAAAACATACCTAGAAAATTACACCGTCTTGGATAGCAAACAAATGCAAATTATTATACCCCACTCTGAAAGTAGTGGCTATATTGCAATCACCTTGTCCATTTATCAGTTGGCCAAACTTGGAACTTAAAAACCACTTCATATTTGTTCAGCAGATTGTAAGAATGATTTGTAACTCATTGGTGCTTTTTTAGGCATTAAGTTTTCCCCTTGACCATCTCTACGTACGTACGTCCCAAAATTGGTTTCCGTTCTCTAACTTGAGTTTGCCTCAACCAAATGTTATGAAACTTATACACAATGCTTATTACCACAAAACACAGATCAAGTTTGAATTTTGGTGGCGTCACTCTAGCCGTTCTAGAGTTATGCCCCTTTATAAATGGAAAAATTGCAAAATTTATAGTTTCCGTTCTCTAACTTAAGTTTGCCTTAACCAAATGTTATGAAACTTATACACAATGCTTATAACAACAAAACACAGATCAAATTTGAATTTTGGTGGCGTCACTTAAACTGTTCTAGAGTTATGCCCTTTATAAATGGAAAAATTTGCAATTTTTATTTTCTTTTAAATATCAAGTAATTTTTAAAATTTGAGTTATCTTCCTTTGTCCATGATTATAGTTGAATCAACTACAATCAATGCGTTATACAATGCAATGTTTAATTTTGACTTCCACTGATAAAACACAGATCAAGTTGAATTTGGGTAGTGTCACTTTAACCATTATTGAGTTGTGCCCTTTATAAATAGAAAGATTGCAAAATTTTTAGTTTCCATTCTGTAACTTAAGTTAGCCCCAACCAAACATTATGAAACCTATACACAATATTCATTACCACAAAACTAAGATCAAGTACAAATTTTTTGTTTCCGTTTTCTTACTTTCGTTTGCCTCAACCAAATGATATGAAACTTATACACAATGCTTATTACTACATAATACAGATTAAGTATGAAATTTGGTGGCGACACTTTTACCATTCTTGAGTTATGTCCTTTTATAAACATAAAAATTGCTGAATTTTTCTTTTCTGTTTTTAACTTTAGTTTGTCTCAACCAAATGTTATAAAACTTATACACAACCGTTCTAGAGTTATGCGTGTTTACAAATAGAAAAATTGCTGAATTTTTAGTTTCTATTCTCTACTTAAGTTAGCCTCAACCAAATGTTATGAGACTTACACACAATGCTTATTACCACAAAACTCAGATCAAGTTCAAATTTGGGTAGCGTCACTTATACCGTTCTTCAGTTATGTCCCTTTATAACTATATGATATGCAAGCGGGGGCATCAGCAGTGTCCACATGTGGACACTATCCACATTTATTTGGATCTGTCAGACACCTACTTCCTGTTCAAATTCTTTCAATTGCAAACAGGAGTATGCTTAGCAATAAAGTTTATATTTTTGGTTTGAATGTACTTAAAGAAATTTGGACATGTGTTACTTCCATTTGTAGGTTGTAGAACATATCTGTTTAGTGCATCTACTTTCAGGAAGATTAGGTTGAAGTAGATAGTTACATAATAAAAGCTGTGAACTACAAAATCTTAAGTATATTTTGATCTTGTTTTCATGGTTCATTGAATATAGTTATGGTATTGATTTATGTGAAAGTAGATGTACTATCAACACGAACCATCATAAAGTCACTCATACTCTTATTCTTTGTTTCAGAACTGTAATAACAAAGCTAATTGTAGAGTGATGGAATGTAGAATTAGGAGTTTAGCCAAAGGAGGACAAACAACAGTTCTGTTAAGAGGTAGACTTTGGGAATCAACTTTAGTACAGGTGAATAATAATTTATTTTGGAACTTTTAAAAGCAAATTGGAGCTGTGTCTGAAATTATCAGGTCAATGGTCAAAATTTCAGAATTTTGATAATAGAAGTAAAACAAAATATCAATTTTTAGCCTTAATTGCTGGAGAGCTTGATTTTATATATCTTTATTTTAAAAAAGTCATGGGAAAAATCCCTGTTGGAACTTATTTATTTCTTGTAATGAAATATGTTGATCTGATGGAACTAATTGATTATGGATTTTAAGCTACATAGGTTTTGTATGATGGTATGATGTTTGCGTCTTTGTCCGAAGACACATGGGTTTTCGCACTCTAACTTTAGTTTAAGTGAATGGATCTCTATGAAATTTTACCAAAAGGTTTAATACCACAAAAGGAAGGTTGGGACTGATTTTGGGGGTTATGGTACTAACAGTTAAGGAATTAGGGGCCAAAAAGGGGCCAAAAATAAGCATTTTTGTAACTTCCAGACATAACTTGTGTGTTAGTGTATGGATCTCTCTGACATTGTACCACAAGGTTCCATATTACAAAGGGAATGCTGGGATTGATTTTGGGGGTAATTGCCTCCAAATTTTAGGAATTAGGGGCCAAAAAAGGGGCAAAAAACAAGAATTTTTCTAGTTTCATGACAATAACTTGTGTGCAAGTGTATGGATCTTTATGAAATTGTACTACAAGGTTCCATATAGCAAAGGGAAAGCTGGAATTGAGTTTGGGGGTAATTGCCCAAAACGTTTAGGAATAAGGGGCCAAAAATAAGCATTTTTCTAGTTTCCAGACAATAACTTGTGTTCAAGTGTATGGATCTCTCTGAAATTGTACTGCAAGGTACCATTCCACAAAGGGAAGGCTGGGATTGAGTTTGGGGGTGATGAATCATAAGGGGGTTCAAAAAATTGGGGGGGGATTTTTTTTCCTTTTTTTTCTTTAAACTTTTCCATTTTAAATTTTTTATTTCTAATTTATATATAAAAGCAAATAATAATGATATGGTTTGAATAGGTAAATTAAAAATTTTTAAGTTCTTAGACCACATTCATTCTGTGTCAGAAACCTATGCTGTGTCAAATATTCAATCACAATCCAAATTCAGTGCTGTATCAAGCTTGAATGTTGTGTCCATACTTGCCCCAACTGTTCAGGGTTCGACCTCTGCGGTCGTATCAAGCTGCGCCCAGCGGAGCATTTTATTGTCTCGTTGACGAAGTTGAAAAAGCAAGATTTGGGAGTGCTGTTTCTGGCGTCAGTGGTGTCATCAATGTATTATTGTGTGATTAGGCCAGTTTATGGGGAACCACTTTCAACATTTGCATTATACTATCAAAATTACAAAATGTGAGACATATCCCTGTGTCAAAAGTTTATTATTTTGACACCTAATAAATGTATATTCAATTTATTTTTTATTTTCAAAGGATTATCCATCAGTAGATGAAGTATGGATAGCTTCAACAGGCCAGGTTATATTAGATACAGATCTAAATATAGAACAAAATATAGCAGATGATATAGCCGAGGTGAGTTGAGCAAAAGGTTTACATTTTAAACAGTCATATGGACTAATTCACAATCACTATAAAGGGATTGGAGTATTCCAGGAATGAATGAATAGGTGTTAATAGGCCTTTAAGATTCAAGTCATAACTGCTACCAATACTAAAATAGAAAATTGCACAACAAAATTTTGAAAAAAAAATCTTTAAAATCATTAGAAATTTTTATTGTTACCAAATGTAGTTAAAACAATTTTTTATGACCTTCTTTAGAATTATGCTGGATGACCAAATTGATATTAAAACATGGCTGACAATTGTTAATAAAAATAAACAATTGGACAATGAATTCCACAGAATCATAAAAAGAACCAATTGCTTCCAAACTTTACTTGAATGATACATTTAAGAATGTTGATTGATGACGTCATCCACTGTCAAACATGTCTTGTCTTGTAAGGAAAATGAAAACATTGGAAAAAATTTATTAAAAGGCATGTGAAATACCAGTTGTTACTAAAAAATTTTTAAAGGTCACGGTACAGTAAGTGGGTTATGTCACAGATTTTGTTAAAATTTAACATACAAAGTTGGGTCGTTTAACTATATATATAAAACCGAAAATCGAAAAAATATTGCGTTATCTCTTTGTTTTTCTGAAATATTATTGATTAAATTCTTTCAAAATAGGTTAGCATTTGTATAGAAAGCACAAAAAGCAGTGAAAAAACGTTCTTAAATTTGTTTTAAAATCAGGAACTTAGTAGTTCATGTACCTTTATATCAGTTGGTAATTGAAATTTCATAATATACCAAATATCTCAATTTACATGCCAGCAATTCACAGGTGTTCTCTAATATGCATAAAATTTGAAGACTGATGGTTGATGTAACAGAACCAAGTTTGTATGAAATTTTTTTCTTACATTGCAGGCAATAACCTATTCAATACCTGATTTAAAAGAGAGAATTTCAGATGAGCTACAATGGTGGATTATACTTGTAGCTGTGTTAGCAGGGCTGCTTGTTCTTATTATCTTTATACTTATATTATGGAAGGTAAGAATTTTATTACATGTCCTATTGTCTAATTAACCAAGTAAAATATGATTCAATCACTATATTGAATAAAAACTAATAAGGAGATGTTGTATGATTGCCAATGACTCGACTATTCATAAGAGTCCAAAATAAGTTCACCATACAACCAACATTTTTAGTAAAAAAATCTGCAGAACCAACAGTTTTTTTTCCATCAAATACCAAGATTCTATATAAATATCAATACTTTAAAACACAAAATGTAAAAACTAAAAGAAAAATATATCACAATCTTATTTCAGGCCAGAGTTTTGTACTTTTACACACAAACTGATAGAAGTTAGGAAAATTTAAATTGTCACTGTTTCTCAACAACTTAGATGACAACCATGACAGAAAATAGAACATATGGGAGAAACCAACTACTAACACAATAAAAAATCATATAAATACAATTGGTTTCAAGCTGTAGAAACAATCCATTTACTACCAACCTTGGTAGTTACTTAAAATGACACAAACAAATTGAATTGTAGAAAGAAGAATTGCTATTAAACTTTTATTACATTGATCTTTTAAAAAAAAAAGAAGATTGACCCAATGACTAAAAGTTTATTGAAAAAGATTAAGATAAATCATATGTAAGATTACAGCTGTTATCCTAATGCTAGCAAGTTAAAGGTTTGGTTGGCTTGCTTGCTTTGTTTGTATTAAAGTTTGCTCAAGCATTGTAATTAAGATTGACATCTGCAAACAATATAAGTAGGCGGAGGTAAACCTGTATATAGGTAAATTTGATTATTTGATAATGTCCAATCAAATTTAAATATTATGTATACAAGTTTAACTCCGCCTTTTTATATTGTTTTCATATGTCAATCTTAATTACAATGCTTGAGTAAACATTAATAAAAACAAAGCAAGCAAGCAAACCAAACCTTTAACTTGCTAGCATTAGGATAACAGCTGTAATTGTTACTACAGTTTGGTAAATGATACATTTATTATCTGCATACAGAATTGTCACCATAACTCCAAACAAAAGTTCATGAATATCATCTGAAGTGCTGAGTTTTATTGTTCAAATTTCCCTTTTCTACAGTAGATTTACATGTTGTTTTTTTTTCAGTGTGGTTTCTTTAAGAGATTACGTCCAGAAGGATATCAACCAACATATAAAGGAGATCTGAAGAAAAAAGACTATGAATCAAATGATGCTGCTTATTCATAGCCAAAATATAAATTAGAACTGTTACATCAAATACAAGAATTCTAGTGTCTTTGTATAAAACCAGTGCTTCCATTTCTTGATGTTGATATCTTAAAGTTAGTGATTTGGATGTAAGGTTAAATTGTATGAGTTTTAAGCCTCAGCTTATATAAATTGATGATTTTACCTGGCCTTTTGAAGAACATTCTGTGTATGGTCATGACTACTGTACAATTGTACAAATAAAAGTTTTAGAGTATTGCTATATAAATTCATGTGAAAATATTTTTATTTCACATGTAACTAAACCACCTATGAAAAAAATTTTTAATTGTAAGAATAATACATTATTTACTCAATGTAAAGTGTTCATATTCATATAACATTGATGAATCAGATTGTAAAGTGTTCATTTTAGTGTCATTTTGTATACTGTCGACCAAAGAGTGATTGGACCATTGTATTGCATGTCATGTTTTTATACATTTTACCTTGTATAAATGCTGTTAACATTTTTGTATATTTATCACTTCAGTATGTTTTGATATAAAATTCCAGGTTAAATTTACAAGCATGAAAGATGCATGACTACAGTGATAAGCAAAAGATAACTTTGAATGTCAAAATGTAATGAATTTCCTCCCTTGATCCATTTGAAATAATAAGGTTGTAAAGATTCCATCTGGTATGAGGAATTTCTTTAGAAAAAAATGTGTAATCTATACTATAAGATATTTATGTATGAATTATATATCTTTATACCTCTGTATATAGTGACATTCCATATATGGTATAAAATGAAACATTCATGTTTAGTGCTTTATTTTTATTATGGAAGTTTATACTTTCCTCTGTTTATTCCATTGGTAATAATTATGATCTCTGTTAAGATATTTTTTATTTCTTTTCATGCATATCTTAATTTTATTGGTTATCTAAAATGTATTCCAAAGAAATATTCCAATGAATTGATTTATTTGATGAAAAAATGAAATGAAAAATATGTTAAATGTTTTCAGTTAAGGTCAAGTCAAAGTTTTGAAAGTGACATTTAAAATCATGATGTTTTGAATGTTAATAGATATGAAGCAGAAATACATTCAAATATGCCATCTAATTTTGGAACAAATTGAGTGATTAATATAGACAATTGTATTTTAGACTTGCCCTATATTTTTCTTGATATATTATGAACATAATCTTTCAAGTATCTGTAATTTTTTTTAAGGTAACTCATCAATGTACAGATGCAAAATGGGAATAAGCTTGTTATTGTATGCTATCTTGCTTTCAGGGGTATGCTAATTTTGTGATAAAGACTATTACACTTTATATCTACAATACTAAGTTGTGATAAAAATTAAAAGTGCTCAAAATTTCAGCTGCATTTAATTATATAGAAATGTAGTAAAATATAAGTATTTTCAATTTCTTTTGAAGTTAATATTTTATATAAACTTTTTTCATTCCTTTTAAGAAATACTTTATGTATGTATTTGTGTTGTGCCTCATCAAAACTTACTTTTTTTGCTATGTGCATCATCATAAAATGTATACCAGACTTCTTTTTGTTTCAGAATTTATATTTACATTTGTGTGTTTTTGTATATTTTAATTTGTATGAAATTTGTTTTTTATGGAAGTATATGTTTTGAATTAGGAATGAAAACCTTTTTGTATTTCTGAACCAGCTGATCTCAGTTATTGTAACTATTTCCTAATAATCTGAATTAGCTGATTTAATAATGAACTTTATATTTGCTTGATTCTTTTACAATCCAATTGATGAATTATTTCTGAGAGATAATTGATTTCAATTTTTCCTAATTAACAAAATTAACAAATTTATAAAAGAGTATACTTTTTCTTTTTTAAATAGTAACTTGTGTATTGATTGTATGTTATATGTTTGTGTGTTTAAGGCCTAAGTGGTCATGCTTGGTTGTGTGTTTGTGTGTTTAAGGCCTAAGTGGTCATGCTTGGTTGTGTGTTTGTGTGTTAAGGCTTTAAGTTGCCATGCTTAAGCCAAATTGAGATAAGCTTCTCCACATGTTTGCTTTACGTTGCAAGCTTTCACTAGCCCACCTGTATTTATTACACTTATTTATTGTAGTTAGTGTCTTAATTGACACTGTATATACTAGTTGCACTATTTATACTTTTCAGCAAGTAGTTTGTATTTAGTTTAAAGTAACAACTTGATTTACTTAAATAACATCAGATAGTTTATTTTTTGGTAGAAAGAAGACGGCCCTGATATCAGTTTACAATTCATAAATTTAATCTGGAACAATGCACAAGAAATAATGGTTAAACAAAATTGGTTGATCCAACAGCTAAAGAGATTAAGTGAAGGGGACTCCTGTCATTTGCACAAATGTAAATTTTGTAGAAAGAAACTAAAGCAAAGTTGAGGAAGCAAGACATTGGTATTTTACATTTTGTCATTGTTGTCAAAGTTTAGGTTCAGTCGGTGGTTAAGATTTATTTTAAAACTTCAAAAACTTTGTAAATTTTTCATGGAATTTTATGAAACTTGGACAGAAGCTTGTTTATGATTTAATAAAGACAGTATTCAGAGCAAAATTTAGAATTTTTTTTTGTTATATCTGTGTTTAACTAATAAATGGACTATTTAATACAATTAAAATTAAGATACAGTCCTTGGATAATGTTTATTTTAAGTCAATAACTTCGTCAGTCCTTATACTGAACCATTTGTTTTTGTATTGTATAAGCATTCTTTCACTACATTTTTACTCCTCTGATTATAGTGTCCATCCCCTAGTCTTGTCTCATTGACACTGGAATTTTGACGTTGTTCAAATGTTTAATTTTTGTCTCACCTGCTTTATAGTTATTGTTATTTGTCATTTTTCATTGAGTTTTCAGTAATTACATTACACAATGTGAAGTTTTCTTATTTTGATGCCAGTAAAAAACAATATTGTACTGTCAATAAATAGAAGGTATTATCAAATTAATGTTGCTAAATCAAACTGACTACTTGTTGACAAGTATATTTATAATGTATTATTTTTATACTGCTTGAGATATGCATCTCCACATTGCTTTATTTTGCTTACTGATCTCCGAGTGATTTATTTCTTATTTTGTACATTTATCCATTACATTTCTGAAATGTAGAATACAAATTTGGAAGTGTTTTTTTCTTTATATTTTTTAACTTGAAAAACATTTTAGATAACGAAACAAGATTTTTTTTTTTTAACTGAAGACTTGCATTAAAATTATTCTCAATTCTGTACACTACATGAGTATTAATATAGCAATGGTGTGTTTTAAGGTAAAAACATGAAGCATTGTGAAGGTATTTGGACAACATAAAGGCATTGTTCTTATGCAAAAAATGATAAGTTAGTCTTGATTTTCAACCGATTTTAAAGAAACATTTCTTCTTGTTCAGATATTTAAATCAATATTGCCATTATTGACTAGTGTTTCAAATGAATGCATATTTTTTCGAAAAATGATATTGCCTACTTTTTAACTTCAAAGTTGATAAGTGTTTGAGAAAGATATTACATTGTAGTAATTCACTAACGTGGTTTGACTCATTGTCAGACTATTAATACTTATTTTAAATTGTAAACACATTTTTTGTTGGACTAAAAAGATAAGTTTGCTAGGTTAAATTGCTAAGTAAAAGGAAAGTTTGACTTGCACCTGTACATGTTTATGTACTGGTTGTAAATGGGAGATTAGAATCACTAGGCTTTTCAGTGTTATGTCTTTGTATCTCTGCATATTTGTATATTTGTTATATGTATATATGTAGTTACCAACATATAAGAAATAAACAATTACAGTTTTGATTATTTAGTTGTAGGAATAGATTTGAAATAAATGATTACAGTTGTGATTCTTAGCGGTAAGATTACAAATAGAAAATTAAAGTTATGATTTTTAGTGGAAAGAATAGATTTGAAATAGTGGATTTTAGCTGTGTTTCTTAATCGAATGAAATGAAACATGTTCAGAAACTTGTTTTAAAAAAAATGGAGATGATTCTGAAGTTGTTTTGGATCAGTTTTTTAATTTGACATGTTAGGAAGAGATTGAACTCTTGTATGTGTTAAGGCAATTAAATGAGTTTATCACAAAGTTGTAAGTTGCTAAGCGCACTATGAGACTAAGGCCTCTTGGTGATTCTCTTTATTCTGCCATTAGTAATATTTTTACAAAACAGTTTAATACAACAACCATGCTTCCTTATCAAATTTTAGATAAATGTTTATTTTTAGCTAAATTGGGCTTTTGATGCCCCTTGTCCTTTAACATATGTAATTTATTGACAATTTACTTTTTTATATTCAAAATTAATGTACATTGAGATTTGTCTGCCATAAAAAGTTTGTTTTTACTTGTTGGTCTGTCAGTTGAGTGAATAAAGTGTACTGTTTTCAAGTACTTGTCAATAAACACCAAGTAAAAGAATCCATCATTTGTATATTTTCATTTGTATACCTGTATATACATGTTTATATATTTCATCATAATCCAGTGATATTATTATGCCAAATATTGTATATAACAAGAATTATGATTCAGTTGAAGTGTAATTTATGTTTTTCCTGAATGAATTTAAGTTTTTCTTTTGCTTTTTAATTTTGTTTGTTGATACTTTTTTAAGAGTTTATCGTATATTGGTTGTGAAAAACTATCCTTTTATGTGCTTATAAAGCAATGTCTGTGTAATCATAAGTAATCCATAATGCCAGTATTGGTTACATTTTGTTTCTACTATTTCAGTTTATTAACTTCATAGGTGTGATTTTTTTTTAAAACTAAAAATAGACCTGCATTACAGGAAACAATATGAATTTTTATTTTCAATTAATGAATTTATGTATTTAATTCTTTTAAATTGAACCTTATTTGTGCCTCAATTTTTAACATTTAGTAACCTCAAAAGATCCAATTGATATTATTTTGATTTTTATGCCCCCGCCGTAGCGGAGGGGGCATTAAGTTTTACCCTTGTCCGTCTGTACGTACGTATGTCCCAAAATTGATTTCCGTTCTCTATCTTTCGTTTGCCTCAACCAAATTTTATGAAACTTATACACAATGCTTATTACCACAAAACACAGATCAAGTTTGAATTTTGGTGGCGTCACTTTTACCGTTCTAGAGTTATGCCCCTTTACAAATGGAAATATTGCTGAATTTATCGTTTCCGTTCTCTAACTTTAGTTTGCCTCAACCAAATGTTATGAAACTTATACACAATGCTTAATACCACAAAACACAGATCAAGTTTGAATTTTGGTGGCGTCACTTTTACCGTTCTAGAGTTATGCCCCTTTAAAAATGGAAAAATTGCTGAATTTATGGTTTCTGTTCTCTAACTTTAGTTTGCCTCAATCAAATGTTATGAAACTTATACACAATGCTTATTACCACAAAACACAGATGAAGATTGAATTTTGGTGGCGTCACTTTTACCGTTCTAGAGTTATGCCCCTTTAAAAATGGAAAAATTGCTGAATTTATGGTTTCTGTTCTCTAACTTTAGTTTGCCTCAACCAAATGTTATGAAACTTATACACACTGCTTATTACCACAAAACACAGATCAAGTTTGAATTTTGGTGACGTCACTTAAACCGTTCTAGAGTTATGCCCCTTTATAAATGGAAAAATATCAAGTAATTTTTATACGACCGCAAAAAAATTTTTGTGGTCGTATGACGTTGGCGTCGTCGTCGTCCGGCGTCGTCCGAAGACACATTGGTTTTCGCACTCTAACTTTAGTTTAAGTGAATGGATCTCTATGAAATTTTACCACAAGGTTCAATACCACAAAAGGAAGGTTGGGATTGATTTTGGGGGTTATGGTACCAACAGTAAAGGAATTAGGGGCCAAAAAGGGGCCAAAAATAAGCATTTTTGTAACTTCCAGACATAACTTGTGTGTTAGTGTATGGATCTCTCTGACATTGTACCACAAGGTTCCATATCACAAAAGGAATGTTGGGATTGATTTTGGATAATGGCCTCAAAATTTTAGGAATTAGGGGCCAAAAAAGGGGCAAAACACAAGCATTTTTCTAGTTTCATGACAATAACTTGTGTGTAAGTGTATGGATCTTTCTGAAATTGTACTACAAGGTTCCATATCATAAAGGGAAAGCTGGAATTGAGTTTTGGGGTAATAGCCGAAATATTTAGAAATTGGGGGCCAAAAAGGGGCCAAAAATAAGCATTTTTCTAGTTTCCAGACAATAACTTGTGTTCAAGTGTATGGATCTCTCTGAAATTGTACTGCAAGGTACCATACCACAAAGGGAAGGCTGGGATTGATGATGGGGGTAATTGCCTCAATATTTTAGGAATAAGGGGCCAAAAAGGGGCAAAAAAACAAGCATTTTTACAGTTTCAGGACAATAACTTGTGTGTAAGTGTATGGATCTCTCTGAAATTGTACTGCAAGGTACCATACCACAAAGGGAAGGCTGGGATTGATGATGGGGTTAATTGCCTCAATATTTTAGGAATTTGGGGCCAAAAAGGGGCCAAAAAACACATTTTTCTAGTTTCCAGACAATAACTTGTGTTCAAGTGTATGGATCTCTCTGAAATTGTACTGCAAGGTACCATACCACAAAGGGAGGCTGGGATTGAGTTTGGGGGTGATGAATCATAAGGGGGTTCAAAAAATTTGGGGGGGGATTTTTTTTTTTTTTCATTTTTTTTCTTTTTTTCATTTTTTAAAATTTTTCTTTTAAAATTTTCCATTTTAAATTGGTTATTTCTGATTTATATTTAAAAGCAAATAATAATGATATGGTAGGAGATACACACCAAACAGGATGTGTAAATTATTATATAATAAGTATTGTGCAATAGCAAGAAATTTTCAATTGCACAGTATTGCACAATAGCAAGAAATCTTCAATTGCACAGTATTGCGCAATAGCAAGAAATCTTCAATTGCACAGTATTGCGCAAAAGCAAGAAATATCCAATAGCACAATATTGCGCAATAGCAAGAAATTGTCAATTGTACAGTATTGCGCAATAGCAAGAAATATTTAATTGCACAGTATTGTGCAAAAGAAGATACTTTGTATAAATTGCTTATTTCTTGACCAATTTCAATGGGGTTTTATTCTTGAATTCTTGGGGTTCTTTAATATGCTGAATCTACTGTGTATTTAGTTTTTGGATTTTGGGCCCCGTTTTTAAATTGGTCCACATTGAGGTCCAAAGGGTCCAAAATTAAACTTTGTTCGATTTCATCAAAAATTGAATTATTGGGGTTCTTTGATATGCCGAATCTAACCGTGTATTTAGATTCTTAAATTTTGGTTCCGTTTTCAAATTGGTCTACATTAAGGTCCAAAGGGTCCAAAATTAAACTTAGTTTGATTTTAACAAAAATTGAATTCTTAGGGTTCTTTGATATGCTGAATCTAAACATGTATTTAGATTTTTGATTATGGGCCCAGTTTTCAAGTTGGTCCAAATCGGGGTCCAAAATTAAACTTTGTTTGATTTCAACAAAAATTGAATATATGGGGTTCTTTGATATGCTGAATCTAACCATGTATTTAGATTTTTGATTTTTGGGTCCCGTTATCAACTTTGTCCACATTGAGGTCAAAAGGGTCCAAAATTAAACTTTGTTTGATTTCATCAAAAATTGAATTATTGGGGTTCTTTGATATGCCGAATCTAACCGTGTATTTAGATTCTTAATTTTTGGTTCGGTTTTCAAATTGGTCTACATTAAGGTCCAAAGGGTCCAAAATTAAACTTAGTTTGATTTTAACAAAAATTGAATTCTTAGGGTTCTTTGATATGCTGAATCTAAACATGTATTTAGATTTTTGATTATGGGCCCAGTTTTCAAGTTGGTCCAAATCGGGGTCCAAAATTAAACTTTGTTTGATTTCAACAAAAATTGAATATATGGGGTTCTTTGATATGCTGAATCTAACCATGTATTTAGATTTTTGATTTTTGGGCCCCGTTATCAACTTTGTCCACATTGAGGTCAAAAGGGTCCAAAATTAAACTTTGTTTGATTTCATCAAAAATTGAATTCTTGGGGTTCTTTGATATGCTGAATCTAACCATGTATTTAGATTTTGGATATTGGACCATAATAGGTGAATGTCCAATTTAAAATATTTAAGTTCTTAGACCACATTCATTCTTTGTCAGAAACCTATGCTGTGTCAAATATTTAATCACAATCCAAATGCAAAGCTGTATCAAGCTTGAATGTTGTGTCCATACTTGCCCCAACTGTTCAGGGTTCGACCTCTGCGGTCGTATCAAGCTGCGCCCTGCGGAGCATTTTATTAAAATTGGAGTTATCTTCCTTTGTCCATGATTATAGTTGAATCAACTACAATCAATACTTTATACAATGCAATGTTTAATTTTGACTTCCACTGATAAAACACAGATCAAGTTGAATTTGGGTAGTGTCACTTTAACCATTATTGAGTTATGCCCCTTTATAAATCGAAAGATTGCAAAATTTTTAGTTTCCATTCTGTAACTTAAGTTTGCCCCAACCAAACATTATGAAACCTATACACAATATTACCACAAAACTAAGATCAAGTACAAGTTTTTTGTTTCTGTTTTCTAACTTTAGTTTGCCTCAACCAAATGTTATGAAACTTATACACAATGGTTATTACTACAAAATACAGATTAAGTATGAAATTTGGTGGCAACACTTTTACCATTCTTGAGTTATGTCCCTTTATAAACATAAAAATTGCTGAATTTTTCGTTCCCGTTCTCTAACTTTAGTTTGTCTCAACCAAATGTTATAAAACTTATACACAACCGTTCTAGAGTTATGCGTGTTTACAAATAGAAAATTTCTGAATTTTTAGTTTCTGTTTTCTACTTAAGTTAGCCTCAACCAAATGTTATGAGACTTACACACAATGTTTATTACCACAAAACTTAGATCAAGTTCAAATTTGGGTAGCGTCACTTTTACCGTTCTTCAGTTATTTTCTCTTTAAACAGTATAAACTGATCCTCAAAATTGAATGTATTGTAGATTTGTTTTATTTCTAGATATCTGTAAATCAAAGATTATTTAAAGTATTTAAAAAAAAAATCAACAAGAATTTCATGTTTAGTGCCTTATAATGTAACAATGAATTTTGTAAATATTTACATATTTCCTTTTCAGCCTTGAATCTTTTAATACAAACTATTTATACCTTATGAGGACATCTGACATTTTTTTTTCTTTCAATAATTGGATTTTTATTTACCAGGAGATTGTCTGAACCTACGATATTTTATTAGTATTTTTTTAGTTATAGTAAATAAAATGCTTATTGAAGAAAAAATTAAATGATCTAGGTATATATTTTAATTGTGCTATGCTGGCTTCATATTATATTAACCATTCCATTTATATGTCATTTTATTGTTCTTAATATCAACAGTTAATACTTATGGGAACAATAAAACATAACCAATTAGATTTTTGTTCTTTTTTACTCTTATGTCTTAATAAAAATCTGTCAATAAAACAACACAAGTTCACCTAAAAATGACCTTAGATCGTTAGCTTTTGTTTCTCAGCTCTTATTGTTAGATGTACAAGACATCAATCTGTATGAAAAGTACTTTCACATAAAAAGTTTAGACAGGGATGACTGATAGAAACCCCAAATTTTTAAATTGAAAAAAAAAAAAAAAGAGATAGCAAAAACCATAAACAATTTTCTTACATATAACAGACACACACACAAGTCAGGAGAGTAGGAATCCAATTAGGACACTTGGGCAAAGGCCATGTTTGCTATCACGTGGTGTCCATGGTACGTTCGTCGTCATTTCATAAGCTTTTCACAAATTTATTTTTCTTGAAAACAACTGAAGTGAGATGTTTCTTTTAATATTTCAATTTTGGTGCAAATTTGTCAACAAACGGCTTTTGTCAGCAAAAATCCTTGCCCGGCTTTGGCTTTATTTTTCGTCCATTTTGGTTTTATCAGCTCTTTTTTGCGGTCGTATATTGGTATGACGTTGGCGTCGTCGTCGTCCGAAGACACATTGGTTTTCGCACTCTAACTTTAGTTTAAGTGAATGGATCTCTTTGAAATTTTACCATAAGGTTCAATACCACAAAAGGAAGGTTGGAATTGATTTTGGGGGTTATGGTACCAACAGTTAAGGAAAAAGGGGCCAAAAATAAGCATTTTTGTAACTTCCAGACATAACTTGTGTGTTAGTGTATGGACCTCTCTGACATTGTACCACAAGGTTCCATATCACAAAGGGAATGCTGGGATAGATTTTGGGGGTAATTGCCTCAAAATTTTAGGAATTAGGGGCCAAAAAAGGGGCAAAAAACAAGCATTTTTCTAGTTTCATGACAATCACTTGTGTGTTAGTGTATGGATCTCTCTGAAATTGTACTGCAAGGTACCATACCACAAAGGGAAGACTGGGATTGATTTTGGGGGTAATTGCCTCAAAATTTTAGGAATTAGGAGCCAAAAAGGGGCAAAAAACAAGCATTTTTTCTAGTTTCTGGACAATAACTTGTAAGTGTATGGATCTTTATGAAATTGTACTGCAAGGTACCATACCAAAGGGAAGGCTGGGATTGAGTTTGGGGGTGATGAATCATAAGGGGGTTCAAAAAATGGGGGGGGGGATTTTTTTTTCCTTTTTTTTTTTCTTTAAAATTTTCCATTTTAAGTTGGTTATTTTTTATTTATATATGAAAGCAAATAATAATGATATGGTTTGATTTCATCAAAAATTGAAATACTGGGGTTCTTTGATATGCTGAATTTAACCATGTATTTAGATTCTTAATTTTTGGTCCCGTTTTCAAATTGGTCTACATTAAGGTCCAAAGGGTCCAAAATTAAACTTAGTTTGATTTTAACAAAAATTGAATTCTTGGGGTTCTTTGATATGCTGAATCTAACCGTGTATGTATTTAGATTTTGGATATTGTACCATAATAGGTAAA